TGATAAAATCGATAGTTTATATTTAGATATAGCAAATTATATGCCTTTCAAAGGTGGATCTTATATAGATTTACCTCCGTATTATAAGAAGAAAAAAGCCATAATTAACGTAAAAAATAAATCTGATGACTGTTTAAGAATGATGATAAGATCTGCATTGTTCCCCGTAGATTCTAAAATTGCAAATAGACCTTCTAGCTATCCCCAAAACGATGGACTCAACTTCGATGGTATAGACGAACCTACACCAATATCACAAATTGATAAGGTAGAAAAGCAAAATAATTTAGCTATAAATGTTTTCGGACATTCTAAAGGAATTGTTGTACACAGGATAAGCTCCGCTCCGGAAAATATCCCCAGAATCAATTCATTTCTGATCGAAAAAGATGGTAAATATCATTATACGTGGATAAAGAGTTTAAACAGGCTATTATACGATCAAACAAAACATGCTAGAAAGAAATATTTCTGTGAAAGATGCCTGCATGGGTACAGCAGACAAGATCTATTAGAAGCGCATAAAGAAGACTGTAGAGGTGTTGGACAGAATGCTATCAGGATCGATATGCCTAAAGAGGGAAAAAATATATTAAAATTTGAACATTATTGTAATCAAATGCCAGTACCGTACGTAATTTACGCCGACTTCGAAGCGCTTATCAAACCCATAGAAAATACCAACCATAATAATCAAGATAATAGTTTTACGTACAAAACTCAAGAACATATTCCTTGTGGGTTTGGATACATAGTTGTAAGGTATGATGGGAAAACAAACCCTCCCGTGATTTACAGAGGTCCCGATGCAGCGGGAAAGTTCCTAGAATATCTACAAAATGAAGAGAGAATAATCAGGGAAAAACTATCGTGTAAGATACCCATGCGTATGACGAGGGATGATTGGAGGGTCCATAAGAAGTCAACGAGTTGTCACGTTTGTAATAAACCCCTAGATGGGGATTCCGTAAGAGATCATTGTCACGTCACGGGTAATTATCGGGGAGCCGCTCATAACGAGTGTAACTTGAAACTAAAAATGAATGCTCAAACAATACCCATCCCCGTTGTGTTTCATAACCTTAGGGGATACGATTCACATCTCATTATGCAAGCTATCTCGAAGACCGACGGCGGTTTAACGTGCATTCCTAACAATATGGAAAAATACATATCGTTCTCGTTGACTAAACCTATACATTATAGGGACAAGGATGGGAAATCTAGAACAAAGCAAAGTAATGGGCTTAGATTCATAGACTCCGTACAGTTTCTGTTATCTTCCCTGGACAATTTAGCTAATGCGAACAATCCCGATGACTTCGCGATAACAAATAAATATACCGATAAGATAACTCGTCATTTGTTGCTGAGAAAAGGTGTATATCCTTACGAATATATGGATGATTGGTCTAGATTCGAAGAAACTGAATTACCACCCCTCGAATCATTCTATAGTAACTTAACAGAATCTAGAATAACAGATGCCGATTATGAACACGCTCTGACGGTCTGGGATAAATTAGGTTGTAAGAATTTAGGCGATTATCACGATCTGTACTTAAAAACCGATGTACTGTTACTCGCCGATATATTCGAGATATTTAGAAAGACGTGTTTCAAACAATACGGCTTGGACCCGGCATGGTACTATTCCAGTCCCGGACTATCGTGGGATGCATTGTTGAAGAAGACCGGCGTAGAACTAAAACTACTCACAGATTACGATATGCACTTGTTTATTGAGAAAGGATTAAGAGGTGGTATATCGATGGCAGCTAAAAGGTATTCTAAGGCTAATAATAAATTAGTGGAAGGATACGATCCCAGTAAACCCGAAACCCACATATTATATCTCGACGCTAACAATTTGTACGGATGGGCTATGAGTCAACCTTTACCCACGGGTGGTTTTGAATGGGTCGATGATATCAATGTGAATAATATCTATAATATCGAAGTGAATAAAGGGTACATACTAGAAGTTGACTTGGAATATCCAAGTTCGTTACATAAAGATCACAACAGTTATCCGCTAGCTCCCGAAAGATTAATGGTTAATAAAGATTGGATGTCGGAATATCAACGCTCCTTGATGGGTAATAGTAGGTTAGCTAACGTAGAAAAACTCGTACCAAATTTGATGGATAAAACAAAATATATAGTTCACTACAGAAATCTCCAGTTGTATCTATCGTTAGGTATGAAACTTAAGAAAATACACAGAGTTCTAAAGTTTGATCAAAGCCCTTGGATGGAGCCCTATATAAGGTTGAACACAGATTTAAGAAAGATAGCTACCAGCGATTTCGAAAAGAATCTGTATAAGCTCATGAATAACTCAGTATTTGGTAAAACTATGGAGAATCTAAGGAAGCGTGTTGATGTTAAATTAGTCAGATCTAATGAGGAAGAAAGACTCAGGAAACTTATAGCCAGCCCGGCTTTTAACAGAAGCAAGATATTTGATAACGACTTAGCCGCGTTGCATATGCAGAAGAGTAATATAAAATTCAACAGACCGGTGTACGTCGGTATGAGTATTCTCGACTTGTCAAAACACTTAATGTATGACTTTTATTACAACGAACTTAAGAAGCAATACGGCGATAGATGCGAGGTTTTATATACCGACACAGATTCTTTGTTGATGGAAATACAAACCGAGGATGTGTATAAAGATATGGCAGAAAAAATAGATATGTACGACACGAGCGATTACCCTAAAGATAATCCACTGCACAGCGTAGTAAATAAAAAGGTGTTAGGTAAGATGAAGGATGAATGTGCTGGGACCCCTATAGCAGAGTATGTGGGATTAAGACCTAAGATGTATTCTATAAAGAAGTCCGATAATGGAGAGATAAGAAAAGCTAAGGGCGTTAAGAAGTACGTTGTAAAAAAGCATATCAAACACGAACAGTATAAAGAATCATTATTCAACGGTAGAACGTTCAAACACGAGATGAACTCTTTAAGAAGTTACGATCATAGGATATATGGATTAAGAATGAACAAGACATCATTATCCCCCTTAGATACAAAGAGATGGATTGATAATGATGGTGTAAATACCTATGCTTATGGTTATGGTGGTAATACCGTACCATCGGGAACTATGAACAACTCTTCTCGTACAAATGCCCTACCCGGTCCATCTTGAAGATAATAAAGAATGGGCTCTCCTTCTTTCGTAACCAATCGACTAATGTTATACGTCTTAAGGGACCATATGGGATCGGTTGCGCGACGTAGGCCTCCTTCGAGTTCACCTGCCTGGTATAAATATCTTACCCTTACTCTATCCGGAAGTTTTTGTTCTTTGCCTCTCCTCGGTGCTGAAGATTCGGAAGTCACGGATTTCATTTTAATAGCATCGGATGGTTTCTTCGCTATTAATCTCGTTACTTCATTATTCAGCGCTGATACAACGGCTGATAATCGTGTCACCCATTCGGTTGATCTCAATCGCTCCGATTTCATTTCGATCCCATACTGATAGCCAAACAAACGTTCCGCTAATGTCCTGTTAAATCTTTCGACGATAGCTTGACTGCGGTGGGCCTCTCTTTCACCACGGACTATTTTGACATCGTTCTTTGTTAACAGTTTAGTTACCGATCCCATAAACTCGCGACCGGGATCTACTTGAAATAGCTTAGGCCATTTTAGCGGTCCACGTTTATATATGCGACTCAGTGCATTAGCTACCTCTGTTGATTCTTTCGATGTTAATGGCTCAGCCTCTTTGTATCGACTAGCCACATCCACAACGGTTAAAGCGTATTTATACGTTTTGCGTTTTACCTTATCGTGGGGAAGAAACAAGAGGTCAGCCTGATGAACTTCATTAGTTGTAAAAATATCAAACTTCTTCCTCGGTATATAACGCGGTGCCGGTAAATATATTTGCCACATCGCTTGTTTCTTTAACCAATCCTTGGCCACATCTTTAGATACCTTAGCCGTGGTGGCTAATTTTTTTATTGCTCCTACACCTTTCCAATATCCTCGTGGGCTATAGTAAATTTTATCCATTATTAATTAATATTGATATTTCTTTTAAAACGACTTTCGTTGAATCACATCATCATTTTTATACTAATTGAAGCAATGATTGGCCCCAGGTATTGGTGAGCTAGAGCCAATTTAACTTAATCTTATGACTATCATTAAATCGCATCATCATTTTGGCATAAAAAATTCCATCTGTAGTAGCAGTATAGGTATATAAATCCAGCTCCAGTGGAGTTGCGGCAGAACCATCATTACCTATACTACTCCATGCATTGTTAATTAATGAAATATTACATATTTCTAACTGATTTTAACTTCAATGTTTTAAAAACTAAGATTGAGTTCCAGTGACAATTGACCCCCCCCGCCCAAATCTCCCATGTTACCAGTGTTCACTACGAGGAAGTAGATCACCATGAACACCTTTGAATAAAAATTTGATTGAGGAGGTACATAAGAAGGACCAAAAATTGTTCATATAAAAACACATAAAAAATGGAACAATATCATATAAGAAAATCAATAAATTAATAATTTTCATCTAGCCATAACAGATATGGTAAAGAATTCATGAAATCAAACTAACACAAAGCACAGATACTTATGATGATCTACATAAATCTACAATTTTGGACGGACAGAAGGACGGACGGACGAACGGAACGCTACAAACCCCCGATTTACTTCGCAAACGGGGGTATAACAAGCATGGGCGGGTGGGGACCTATTCTATCCCAGGATCCCCGTGATCAAAAGTACAACTAGTGACTGTGATGTCCTGCCACTTTTTATTTTCTCTCAAGGAACTATTTCAATGTGATGATAATGCGTCTTGTGGAGGCAATTTCACTTGCAATTTTTTATGATGATCTAAACTAAATAATTTCACCTATAACGTAAGTTATTCAAAGACTTGCTTAACATATACAACATGTTGGTCTGGATTGGAACCACAGCACTGGTAGAGAGGTGCGTAGACTTACTTCTTGATATTCATCCACTGTTTAGAGACAGCTACAAAAGCATCCGGGGCACCTGCTAGCATGGCTTCCAGCTCCAGCAGCTGAAACCATTACATCATTTTGTTTGTTGTTGAACGCAACACTCGGCAATATTCCAGCTACATACTCAAATCTGGACCAGACAATCCAGTGATTGACATCATGAGCATTGATCTACGCAACTGGGATAGGATGACATGCATCAACCAAGTCAGCGAGCCTGACGACTCAATCCTGCTATTTGCCTCTTACGTGAGTGAGTGAGTGAGTATGGTTTTACGCCGCTTTTAGCAATATTCCAGCAATATCACGGCGGGGGACACCAGAAATGGGCTTCACACATTGTACCCATGTCGGGAATCGAACCCGGGTCTTCGGCGTGACGAGCGAACGCTTTAACCACTAGGCGACCCGACCGCCCCTTTGCCTCTTACGACAAGCATGGGTTGCTGGAGACCAATTCTAACCATCACATCACTACAGATATATCATATTATAGGAACAGATGTCTAAAAAAATTCCCTTTATTTCACCATTCATCATTCTATCCTATACAAATAGTTAATACAAACCGAATGAATGAATAAGTATTGCTTTACTCAACATCTGGGCCTAGATTTTCGAAACGATCTTAGCTAAGATAAATCTTAACTACTTACGTTCAAAGATAAGATATCTTAAGACTAAGATAAGATAGTTTTTTGAAACAATCGTAAAACTGTCGCAGATCGCTCAGAGCTACGACACCTATCTGTAGCGGGAGAATAGCTCGAAGTCGTCAAGCGTATCGAGGGGACGAGTTCTGTCTCGGAATATCCTCGGTCTTGTCATCAAATCATTGTCATCTTCATCATGAAAAATGTCCAGAGCAAATTATACCGCCATCTTGGATGAGGATAAAATATACTTACGACAGGTATAGGGCTATCTTAGAACTTAAGATATCTTAGGGCTACGATAGTTTCGAAAAAATAGGCTACGATAGCCTACGATTTTTTTACGATAACTTTACGATAATTTTAGGGCTAAGATTGTTTCGAAAATCTAGGCCCTGAAATATTCCAGCAATTTGCACCTAAGAATACAAACTTAAATATGGGATTCAGAATGGCTTTAATTTCAGGTAGTGTTAATCTTATGGATTAATGGAGGTTAATTAACACCAATCTTGTTGTATATACTACTCAAAAGAAGTTAAAGAACACAAGATTCTTTCATGTGACTATAGTAAATCTGTCATGGCTGGATATACTAATTATAGTCATATGAAAGAATCTTCTTTAACATCTTTTGAATAGTATATATCATAAATGAAATAGATAATGCTGTGCTATTTTATAGCTGTCAATCAAGAAAATACCTTACATTAACAATTTTATCAAATAAAGTATCTAAAATCATATCTGAAAACAAATTCCCATATAGGCATCGAATTGGTGGAACACTTTCGGACAGATATTGTATATATTACTCTCTGAAACTGTAAACTAGTGAGAGAGTGAGTTGGGTTTAACGCCATTTTTAACAGTATTCCAGTTATATCACGGCCTGTCAGCTTAATGTGGGAGGAAAGCCTGAAGTGATGCAGGTCTCAGACGTTTACCACTTCGGTGAAACCTACGAGCACGGGTATGGTGCTGACAAACCTAGAAACATAATTGTGGCGAACCTGGGTTCGAACCCACAATCATAGGTTTCTGGTGTGCCCAAGGGACGCAACTCTGCAAAATCGCAAAATTACAAAAAAGTACCACTTTTCGACCCATTACATAATCAGTCAGTCTTGATGTACAGGATGAAGCAGCACGTACCTTGCCTGTAGGTATCTTCCCCGTCACCTGTCTCCCCACCGACATGACCAGACCGAGGGCTACTGTGTATGCCACAACACTGCAACAAGGGCACCGAGACAATCAACCATTGTGCAGTGGACACGCCACAACACATGGACTGAGAACAGATCCATGTACTATACTTTCTCACTGAGCATCTTTCTAATTATTTTTTGCAGCACAAAGCCTTAGGTTTATAAAATCTTGTCCATCATCAGTGTTTGATACAAATACAGCTCAATTCCAAATACACTAATATGATGTCCTACAATTGTGATACTGTCAAAGACGCTGTCATCAATTTCTTTGTTGGAATCAACACCGAGTAATCCTGTATGATATGGTTTAAAGATCCTCCTCTACGGAGCCAAAAGTTGTCGGACATACCTGGAGCCTAGGGTGAGGTAGAAGTACAATAGGGACATACCTGGAGCCTTGGGTGAGGTAGAAGTAGTTCATAGGGACATACCTGGAGCCTTGGGTGAAGTAAAACAAGTATTTGTCACAGAGTGACGAAATATCCCCCGCCTGTACACCATAGTACCAAATATGAAGACAATCCAGCGATTAGTTCTTGAGATATTGTGGCAACACCGTTTTCCAACTCAAAAAACAGATTTGCCTGCTGTGACCTTGAAAATGGGGTCAAGGTCACCAAATCTGACAGGTGTATGCGGTGTCTGTATATACACTATAGTTCCAAATATGAAGACAATCCAGCGATTAGTTCTTGAGATATCGCGGCAACACCGTTTTCTAACTCCAAAAGCAGATTTGCCTGCTGTGACCTTGAAAATGGGGTCAAGGTCACCAAAACCGACTGGTGTCTGCGGTGTCTGTATATACACCATAGTTCCAAATATGAAGACAATCGAGAGGTTTAGTTCTTGAGATATCGCGGCAACACCGTTTTCCAACTCTAAAAGCAGATTTGCCTGCTGTGACCTTGAAAATGGGATCAAGGTCACCAAAACCGACTGGTGTCTGCGGAGTCTGTATATACACTATAGTTCCAAATATGAAGACAATCCAGTGTTTAGTTCTTGAGATATCGCGGCAACACCGTTTTCCAACTCCAAAAGCAGATTTGCCTGCTGTGACCTTGAAAATGGGGTCAAGGTCACCAAAACCGACTGGTGTCTGCGGTGTCTGTATATACACCATAGTTCCAAATATGAAGACAATCCAGTGTTTAGTTCTTGAGATATCGCGGCAACACCGTTTTCCAACTCTAAAAGCAGATTTGTCTGCTGTGACCTTGAAAATGGGATCAAGGTCACCAAAAACGACTGGTGTCTGCGGAGTCTGTATATACACCATAGTTCCAAATATGAAGACAATCCAGTGTTTAGTTCTTGAGATATCGCGGCAACACCGTTTTCCAACTCTAAAAGCAGATTTGTCTGCTGTGACCTTGAAAATGGGATCAAGGTCACCAAAACCGACTGGTGTCTGCGGAGTCTGTATATACACCATAGTTCCAAATATGAAGACAATCCAGTGTTTAGTTCTTGAGATATCGCGGCAACAAACAGGTGGGACGTACGGACCGACGTACGGACGGACGTACGGACGGTCGTGAATAATATATCCCCCGCTTCGCGCTTTCGCGCGGCGAATGATAATAGTACATTAGGGACATATAGGGACATATCTAGAGCCTTGGGTGAGGTAGAAGTAATACATAGGGACATACCTGGAGCCTCGGGTGAGGTAGAAGTAGTCCATAGGGACATACCTGGAGCCTCGGGTGAGGTAGAATTAAGACACTAGGGACATACCTGGAGCCTCGGGTGAGGTAGAATTAAGACACTAGGGACATACCTGGAGTCTCGAGTGAGGTAGAAGTAGTCCATAGGGACATACCTGGAGTCTCGAGTGAGGTAGAAGTAGTCCATAGGGACATACCTGGAGCCTCGGGTGAGGTAGAAGTAGTCCAAAGGGACATACCTGGAGCCTCGAGTGAGGTAGAAGTAGTCCATAGGGACATACCTGGAGTCTCGAGTGAGGTAGAAGTAGTCCATAGGGACATACCTGGAGTCTCGAGTGAGGTAGAAGTAAGACACTAGGGACATACCTGGAGCCTCGGGTGAGGTAGAAGAAGTCCATAGGGACGTACCTGGAGTCTCGAGTGAGGTAGAAGTAAGACACTAGGGACATACCTGGAGCCTCGGGTGAGGTAGAAGAAGTACATAGGGACATACCTGGAGCCTTAGGTGAGGTAGAAGTAAGACACTAGTGACATACCTGATGCTTCGGCTGAGGTAGAAGTAAGACACTAGTGACATACCTGATGCCTCGGGTGAGGTAGAAGTAAGACACTAGGGACATACCTGGAGCCTCGGGTGAGGGGCATGAGGTTGTAAAAGTAGTACACCAGGGAGACAATCAGGTTGAGTATCTGGTCAATGTCCTGCAACAATAGAGGTATAGGTTATTAGGTAACTGACAACAGAACAGAACAGAACAGAGTGAGTGAGTGTGTGAGTGAGTGAGTGAGTGAGTGAGTGAGTGAGTGAGTGAGTGAGTGAGTGAGTGAGTGAGTGAGTGAGTGAGTGAGTGAGTGAGTGAGTGAGTGAGTGAGTGAGTGAGTGAGTGAGTGAGCGAGCGAGCGAGAGGGTACACAAACTGAGGCAATATGCCCTATCACTTTAGGTGCAAATCACAATGTGCCCTTCCCCAACACTTACAGTTATTTTGCTGAGGCCTGTCTTCCTGATCTCGTCCTGTATTTGTGTAAAAACATAGTCCATCTCCGACGAGTACATCGTCATCCGCTCTTGGGTATTGGCTACGTTCAGAGCAAACACAATCTTGCCATTTCTGAAAATAACCCACCATATCTTAGACCAATGTTTCAAGAAGTTAATGACACAACTATGTCCACAGAACAATAGATAAACTACCAGTGTGCCGGTACTGCTTATGAACAACAGTGTTACTCTACTCACAAGTCCTCTGTCAGTATCAGCATGGCGCCGTCTAACCGATCCTCCTCTTTGGTCTTTGTCATACTGGGAACTTGTGTCGACACAAGAAACCCATGCGGGTTGATCTTTCTCTTCTGTGCAAAAAAAAAGCAGACTACAAAAATGGCAAAACAATTCTAAATTTTACAAGACTCTATCTTTATTGATCAAAAGCTGTATTTGTTTGCCCTTGAGATACCTTGAAAAAAATAAATACATTAACCGCCTTCAACAAAACAATTTGTGGGTATAAAAAGAAATCAAAGATGGCCACTTGACTGCCATATTGAATTTCCGATTGTGATACTGGAAACCTTTTACTGTGATAAAGTTTGGCTCAATACAGCTCACAACAACAGAAGTTGAAAACTGGTTTGTTTCAGCAAATATTAGCATAAATAATGTTGCCTTTAGTTTCTACCCCATGCTAAATACAATGTATAACTGATCACAGGATGTCTTGATGGAAACATAAATTGTGGGTGAAACCTCCCCTCCCCCCGAAACACTAAATGGGTTGTGGGTTGAGGAAGTAATGTTTGGTAAGAGGCTTTATTGATGCTACCTACAACTGTACATGCCATCACAGCTTCAGGTTACTCCTGCTTACCCTGGCGACTGAAAGAAGGTCCTCGCATGACTGCGCCTTCCTGATGTCTTCCTTCAGGTTAGCATAGGACACCGCACCCTCCCTGAAACAACATCCCTCAAACTGTTAACATCTGCATAGGACACCGCACCCTCCCTGAAACAACATCCCTCAAACTGTTAACATCTGCATAGGACACCGCACCCTCCCTGAAACAACATCCCTCAAACTGTTAACATCTGTATAGGACACCGCACCCTCCCTGAAACAACATCCCTGAAACTGTTAACATCTGTATAGGACACCATACCCTCCCTGAAACAACATCCCTCAAACTGTTAACATCTGTATAGGACACCCACTCTCCCTGAAACAACATCCCTCAAACTGTTAACATCTGTATGGGACACCGCACCCTCCCTGAAACAACATCCCTAAAACTGTTAACATCTGCATAGGACACCGCACCCTCCCTGAAACAACATCCCTCAAACTGTTAACATCTGTATAGGACACCGCATCCTCCCTGAAATACATCCCTCAAACTGTTAACATCTGCATAGGACACCACACCCTCCCTGAAACAACATCCCTCAAACTGTTAACATCTGCATAGGACACCGCACCCTCCCTGAAACAACATCCCTCAAACTGTTAACATCTGCATAGGACACTGCACCCTCCCTGAAACAACATCCCTCAAACTGTTAACATCTGCATAGGACACCACACCCTCCCTGAAACAACATCCCTCAAACTGTTAACATCTGCATAGGACACCACACCCTCCCTGAAACAACATCCCTCAAACTGTTAACATCTGCATAGGACACCACACCCTCCCTGAAACAACATCCCTCAAACTGTTAACATCTGCATAGGACACCACACCCTCCCTGAAACAACATCCCTCAAACTGTTAACATCTGCATAGGACACCGCACCCTCCCTGAAACAACATCCCTCAAACTGTTAACATCTGCATAGGACACCGCACCCTCCCTGAAACAACATCCCTCAAACTGTTAACATCTGCATAGGACACTGCACCCTCCCTGAAACAACATCCCTCAAACTGTTAACATCTGCATAGGACACCACACCCTCCCTGAAACAACATCCCTCAAACTGTTAACATCTGCATAGGACACCACACCCTCCCTCAAACAACATCCCTCAAACTGTTAACATCTGCATAGGACACCACACCCTCCCTGAAACAACATCCCTCAAACTGTTAACATCTGCATAGGACACCACACCCTCCCTGAAACAACATCCCTCAAACTGTTAACATCTGCATAGGACACCACACCCTCCCTGAAACAACATCCCTCAAACTGTTAACATCTGCATAGGACACCGCACTCTCCCTGAAACAACATCCCTGAAACTGTTAACATCTGCATAGGACACCGCATCCTCCCTGAAACAACATTCCTCAAACTGCTAACATCTGCATAGGACACCGCACCCTCCCTGAAACAACATCCCTCAAACTGTTAACATCTGCATAGGACACCGCACCCTCCCTGAAACAACATTCCTCAAACTGCTAACATCTGCATAGGACACCGCACCCTCCCTGAAACAACATCCCTCAAACTGTTAACATCTGCATAGGACACCGCACCCTCCCTGAAACAACATTCCTCAAACTGTTAACATCAAAAATGGTAAATAGTTAGTTCCATGATAGTCCATCTCTGATTTACCATTATTACAAGACAACGAACACTTCGCAACAACAAAGATTCATCTGTGTAACAGATGCAACATAATCCTGTTGTTGAAGTAGTGCATCAATAACGGAATGTTGATCGTACCGTATCAGAACAGAAATTTCTTTTGTTGTACCGTTTTGTGTTGTCTAATTATTACAGGATAATGAAGAAGCTACGAGGAATTATTGACTACCTGCCCCTAGTAAATGAATGGTGTAACTGCCAGGCATTTGATGAGGGATTTACTGCATTCATTCACTTGGGACAGAAAATCCGAAAATAAAAGCTTCAAGTTGGTTTTCTAAGGAAGCCTTTTAGGGCCATTTGATTTTATGTTTTTTTCAATACTATCTTGAAATTTCAAGAAACTAAGTTGAAATTTCAAGAAAGTATCTTGAAGTTTCAACTTATTATCTTGAAATTTCAACTTATCTTGAAATTTCAACTTATTATCTTGAAATTTCAACTTAGTATCTTGAAATTTCAACTTAATATCTTGAAATTTCAACTTCTGTATCTTGAAATTTCAAGATAGTATTGAAAAATACAAAAAAACAAATGGCCCTAAAAGGCTTCCGTAGTTTTCACATAGACATAAACATTTTATGAAGTTGAGTTTAGTTGAGGTGAACTTGGTATAATTTCACTTACATAGTGTCTACATGTAATAGTCCGGTTTTGCCGTTTTTTCAGTGCTGGCCCTCTGAGATACTATCACGCAGCTAAACATGGATAACCCACTCGGACACAGTACATGTGTATACTGACTCCAAGCCGAGTCCTTGTTTTAACTGTTAATGCTCATCAAAAAAAGGAAACACATGTGACAAAATTCTTCATCTGAGGTGGTGAGGTGAAATGGGGTTTAACGTCGCGTCCAAGATTATTGCACTTATATAGTGACATGCATGTATGTGTGTGTGTGGCTGCTTGTACTAGTCCGGACTGATGCCGATTTATAGTGCTAGCTCACTGAGATACCATGCCGCAGTTTAACATGAATACCTCACTCAGACACAGTATACTGACTCCGAGCCGACCAGTCCTTGTTTTAGCCCCTTAATGCCGAGCGCCAGACAGGGTAACAACAAGTACCATCTTTTAACGTCTTTTGGTATGGCGCTGTCGGGGATCGAACCCCAGACCTTCCGCTCTCCGGGCGGACGCTATACCACTAGACCACTGAGGCGCTCTCTTCATCTGAAGGTACTTGGGACCAACAAAACAATATGAGGTGTGGTTGCTCCACACACAGGCAGGGATGACAATCTAATGATTAATTTATTATGGATTCAAATGGTCTTACCCTGTATAGTGTTCTAGCATTGTCTTGGCCAGTTTAAACACCAGGTCAAAATACTGCATTACTTTTAGGTTAGCTACTGATCCCCTGCAAAACAAACACAAGGTATAGAAACAGAGTTATTAAACACCCATCCTACCATAGTATATAGACTGGAGCAGTTTCCATTTATCATAACAAATTGCCTTTAAAAAACATAAAAACAAAATGGATCCAAAAATAATTTGAAACATTGTTCCCAGGAAGTTACAAATTAGGAATCAGGAGGTCCATATTCATTCAGAACACACCAGGGCCCCGTTCCACAAAGCGATCGTAGCGCTAAGATGATCGTAACTCCCATTCTTTAGCATAGGCTTACGGCAGTCATTGCTCTACTATCCCTTTGTCGAACGGGGCCCAGGAGGAGGAAAAATATATATGATCGTTTTAGTTATATAAATTCTTTTTATAAACAACCTTATGACAGAATGACCAGTCTACTACTGACGTGTCACCATATTACAGTGGGATGAATTTTTGTGACCAAACTTTCTCCTTTCAATTCTGTATACCTGATTGAAGACACATGAAGCTGTGGGCCCACCTTATAAATGTGATGTCTGTCCGATGCCCTTCTGTTGTGAGGTGATCGGGGAGGGATGACACCCACAATACTGGCTGTTCTGGGTCGGCTAGGCGACGATATTGCACTGCTATTCCAAATACCTCCCTCCAGCTTAAAGGCCTTTCTGTGACATTGACTAGGGTTACATTGCAAGAAGATGAGTGAGTGGGGTGAGGAGGATTTACACAGATTTCAGTTAATGTGGGAGAAAGCCCAAAGTGACGCAGGTCTTGGACCATTATCATGTTGGTGAAGCTCATTTGGGGGAGAGATTTCAGGATATGATCTCATCCACTTTCCAAATGAGTGAGTTTGGTTTAAAGCTGCTTTGAACAGTATTTCAGTCATATCTATACATGGATGTCAGCTTAATGTCAGAGCAAAGCTCCAAGTGTAGCGTCTTAGACGTTACCACTTTGGTGAAGCACGAGCAATCCTAGAAACATAATTAGGGTGAATCTCGGATTCAGCCAACAAACATAGGTTCCTGGCACACCTAAGGGAGGCAACTCAGCACAGGAAATAGTGCCCACCAATGTACCACGAGTCTGTGAAGCTTATCTGAATATTCTTGAACATTTGCAACATTCTACCAAAATTATATCTTCAACATGGTTGCTACTGCAAACAGACTGGTATATAAAGTTCAAAGTTGAGGCACATAAATAAATATTCATCAATCTGAATATCACACAATTACCATAGACATAACAAAAAAGCTGAGAAATGATTTTAAAAAATGACATTTACAATATGGTTGCCATGGCAACAATTCCTAAAATCTGATCGAAAGTCGTTGAGCACTTAAAAATGCACACTGTTTTTTTGTGATGATCTTGAATCACAAACCTGCCGACATGCATCTGTAGCTATGAATAATGGCAGATCCCAGTATCAGACAGAACTTGTTATATTTTCCATGAATACTTCACAAGAAATCCTCTAGAAATTTGATAATATGATTTAATGACTCATGCAAATCAAGACAAATGTCTTATCTCTATACATACCTCCACTTCCTTTTGTATTTTTATAACTTTTCCATTTCATCTGAAGCAGAAAGAGAAAACAAATATCTGAATGAAAAAATGAAGTTACAAAGCTCAACAGTATGATTTATCCTGGGCCTTGCTCCACAAAGCAATCTTTGCACTATGACTAGCTCCAACATGTCAACACAGACTTGTGAAAGTCAGAGCTAAGATTGTGGAGACCATGGACCACTGTCCACAATATATTGTCAGTGCTACGATTGCTGTCACTCCTAGTCCAACACTTCAACACAGACTTGTGAAAGTCAGAGCTGAGATTGTGGAGGCCCTGGTTCACTGTCCACAATATATTGTCAGTGCTACGATTGCTGTCACTCCTAGTCCATCACTTCAACACAGACTTGTGAAAGTCTGAGCTAAGATTGTGGAGGCCCTGGACCACGGTCCACAATATATTGTCAGTGCTACGATTGCTGTCACTCCTTGTCCCACACTTCAACACAGACTTGTGAAAGTCAGAGCTAAGATTGTGGAGGCCCTGGACCACTGTCTACAATATATTGTCAGTGCTACGATTGCTGTCACTCGTAGGCCAACACTTCAACACAGACTTGTGAAAGTCAGAGCTAAGATTGTGGAGGCCATGGACCTCTGTCCACAATATATTGTCAGTGCTACGATTGTTGTCACTCCTAGTCCCACACTTTACATATAAACTTATGTTAGCGCCATTGAAAGAATGATTGTGGCACATGGCCCAATGTGATTGTTAACCAGCCAGTGCCTCGCAGGCAGCTTGGGTTCTATACTCCCCAGGGAGTTGAGAATGAAAATCAAGTACACACTGATCCTTTGACTGGGGTAATGAAAATGCAGTGCTTCGAGACTACAATGTGTATGGAGTTATGCATTTTATAAGTGGATGATGATGATGATGATGATGATGATGATGATGATGATGATGATTATGATGATGATGATTATTATTATTATTACTGGGTCTTTAGATAAACTTAATTACCTGTTTTCCAGAAAATGGAATAATGTGTAACGTTTTGAATAAAAATTAAGAAATTAAAGTGGAAATTAAGAATATTGTTTGTCCAACATACCTCAAAATGTTGTGCTATGTGTATCGAGGCAAGCCCCATGGCAAGATTGAGTCTTTTATTGGGTGTAAATCCATCTGAGTTGACCTGCATGGACCAGCCGATCTTCTCCGCCCGGCACAGCAGGGTCTGTGCTTGTGGTGGGTAGCTGGACAGGGTCTGGGGCGTGACGTCTCTAGTGGGGGGAAGGGAGGTCATTAGTGAGGACATGTTCACAGAGCAATACACAAACTTCACGGTAGATGTCACACACACATTCTGATACATATGACAACACAAAGACAAATGTACCTGGCCTGTGAAGATCCGGGGTAGAATAGGTCTTCAGCAACCCATGCTTGCTGTAAAAGGTGACTATGCTTGTCGTAAGAGGCGACTAACGGGATCGGGTGGTCAGACTCACTGACTTGGTTGATGCATGTCACTGATCCCAATTGCATGGATCAATGCTCATGATATCAATCACAGGATTGTCTGGTCCAGACTTGATTATTTACAGACCGCCGTCATATAGGTGGAATATTGCTGAGTGCAGCATGAAAACAACCAACCAACCATGAACCTCCCCACCCCACCTTCATTTTTCAGGAGGAACCCCCTTGGAGCTTTCTTTTAAGTTAATAACTAGAAAGTGTTTTTACTCGTAAAAACATATGTCTCCCCCCACTCCCCTAACCCCCATTCATTCGTTTACTTCACTTTAAACCCCATCTGTTCATTCCCACAAAAATAATTCACAATATTTTAATGCTAGAATTGCTTTGAATTCAATAATATTGAAAAGATCAAATTCTTAAATTTCATTATAAGCAAAAGACACAGAAATATTGAAGGGGTGTTGAGTTTAGTTCTGGAACAAAGCCCATCCCAATACAGAGTCTAAGTTAAACTTGTCTCCATAAACAAGAAAAAATAAAATGTGAAAAACTTCTAAATAGCAAGAAGCACCACTTCAGGGCTTGGTTAATATGTTACAACTTCATGAAATAATATTGAACAGTTTTTGAGTTATGGTCAGGAAACAAAGCTTACCCCCATTCAGAGCCTATGTTCAACTTATCTCCATGGAAACGAGAAAAAATAAAAATGTCAAAAATCTCTAAATAGCAAAAGGCACCACTTCAGTGCTGGGTTAATGTGTATACAAAGTTTCGCGAAAAAATATTAAACGGTTTCCGAGTTATGGTCCGGAAACCAAGCTTACCCCCATTCAGAGTCTATGTTCAAGTTATCTCCATGGAAACGAGAAAAAATAAAAATGTCAAAAATCTCTAAATAGCAAAAGGCACCACTTCAGTGCTGGGTTAATGTGTATACAAAGTTTCGCGAAAAAATATTAAACGGTTACTGAGTTATGGTCCGGAAACAAAGCTTACCCCCATTCAGAGCCTATGTTCAACTTATCTCCATGGAAACGAGAAAAAATAAAAATGTCAAAAATCTCTAAATAGCAAAAGGCACCACTTCAGTGCTGGGTTAATGTGTATACAAAGTTTCGCGAAAAAATATTAAACGGTTACTGAGTTATGGTCAGGAAACAAAGCTTACCCCCATTCAGAGTCTATGTTCAAGTTATCTCCATGGAAACAAGAAAAAATGAAAATGTCAAAAATCTCTAAATAGCAAAAGGCACCACTTCAGTGCTGGGTTAATGTGTATACAAAGTTTCGCGAAAAAATATTAAACGATTTCTAAGTTATGGTCAGGAAACAAAGCTTACCCCCATTCAGAGTCTATGTTCAAGTTATCTCCATGGAAACAAGAAAAAATGAAAATGTCAAAAATCTCTAAATAGCAAAAGGCACCACTTCAGTGCTGGGTTAATGTGTATACAAAGTTTCGCGAAAAAATATTAAACGGTTTCCAAGTTATGGTCCGGAAACGGTGGGAACGCCGACGCCAACGCCGACGCCGACGCCGACGGGAACCGTGCCAAAAACAATATGTCTCCCTCCATTCTGGGGGAGACATAATTCAGTAACTTATAGTGACTGACATCATGAGCATCAATTCAGGCAATTGGGTTACAATGACTTGTATTGACCAAGTCAGCGAACCTGAACACCCGATCCCGTTAGTTGCCGCTTACGACAAACATAGTCGCCTTTTACGTCAAGCATGGGTTGCTGAAGACCTCTTCAAACCTGGATCTTGACAGGTCGGTACACATAGAAGGTGGAAATGGATCAATCAAACCGGTGTGATTTGTAAACTACTGACCTGATGTCAGGCTGTAACCCTGGCTGCTCTTGATATGGTTTCTGGAAACAGTGAATGAGTTCATGAGTTTGTGAGTAGGGTTTGCAAACAGTGCAAAACAGGGGTTCAGAATACTAACCAAGATAATGTTAAATATCTGTGGTTGGTTGGTTGGTTTGTTGATTAACGCAGCACTCAGCAATATTCCAGCTATATGACAGCGGTCTGTAAATAATCGAGTCTGGACCAGACAATCCAGTGATTAATATCATGAGCATCGATCCACACAATTGGGATTGATGACATGCATCAACCAAGTCAGCAAGCCTGACCACCCGATCCCGTCAGTCGCCTCTTACGACAAGCATAGTCGCCTTTGGGTGGGTGGGTGGGTGGGTGAGTGGGTGAGTGGGTGAGTGGGTGAGTGAGTGAGTGAGTGAGTGAGTGAGTGAGTGAGTGAGGTTGATTTGACACCGATTTAAACAGTATTACAGGGTGTCAGCTTAATGTGGGAGGAAAGCCCAGAGTGATGCAGGTCTCAGACATTTACCACTCCGGTGAAACCCACGAGCACGGGTATGGTGCTGACAAACCTAGAAACGTAATCGGGGTGAACCAGGATTTAAACCCACATCCCACAATGATAGGTTTCTGGCAATTCTCAAGGGACGCAACTCCACATAACGAATTACGGCGCCTTAGATAACACCTGTGCCCTCGAGAACTATATGAAGACATCATCCATTGACAATATAATGACAATGAGAAACACAGAGACTAACGGACTTGAAACTGGAATGGGATTAAGTCTGTGTCAATTCAAGACCGTACATTTGTCCTCATACTGATGGAGATCTAGTTTTGAGGGATTCGACTTTATAAGCCTAAGTAAGGATAAGAATTTATGGATGAACAACTTCTTTATTACAATTTAGAGCGACATTTTGGTGTAGGTTTTAACACCGTTATCAAGCAAGTGATTTACAGAGTGTAGTAAGCAAGTATATATACACGTAGGAGGCAATGTTTATACAGTAGGGTAGATATTGTTATACTGGAGTAGAGAAGCCTGTTATGTACACACAAGGGTAGTGATGGCAATCATCGGTGAAGTCAGTGCCATAAACAAAGGACGAAGCCAGTAAATAAACAACGGGATTATGGCTGATTGGGGTCTTTGATGAGTTGATGGTACGCCGGGGGGTATGTAATAGCCTTGGTCACGGTTGATTGAGGGCTGAAAAACCTACACCGAAACGTCGCTCTTAATTGTAATAAAGAAGTTGTTCATCCATAAATTCTTATCCTTACTTAGTACTCCAACTTCTAAATGCCTATCAAAGAAGTTGTATAAGCCTAGATGATGTTAATATACAGAGGGTAACAGTCTCGGATTGATTCATTATAGTTACTAGGTATTAATCTTATATACAGAACCTGTTAATTTCTGCACAAGTATGTGGTAAAACTGTCATTTTTTAACAATCTCTCAAACAACCATGGTACCACATATGACGTACCGTAAATGTAAATGGCAATGTTTTAACCCAGTGATCCTGGAATTCATCTCCCAGATCGTACTCCGGTTGAAGTTGGTCCAGGTTCACGTCCAGCTTGGAATGTAAATATCGACCATATTCTGTAACATCACACAGGTAGCATTTTACCATGTTTGACATAACTAACAGAAATACTTACGTCATTGATTGAAAGACGTGACTAAAAAGACGGGGTAAAAATGATTATTCTCAATACAGGTATTTCCATTTTCATTTGTTTTTAACCTATGGAAGTCAGACGTCCTTTTCTGAAGGATTTGCTTGCCTGAACCGAAAATTTAGAGTGAGTAAGTATGGTTTTACGCAGCTTTTAGCAATATTCCAGCAATATCACGGGGTGCTTCACACATGGTACCCATGTCGGAAATCGAACCATGATGAGCGAACGCTTTCACCACTAGGCACTATCCACTAGGCCACAGAGGTGGTTGTTAATTGCCAAGAAACAACATATAACAGATGTAGCCATAGGATTAATTAAGTCTCACGTACCCCTGAGGTAATGAGCTTTTATGAACTCTGGTGACATTTTTATAGATCCTGCGCTTTTTATCATCACCTGAAAGTGGAAAATACAAAAACGTTATCACTTCCAAAATACTGCCATCGTTCAGCATAAACAGATCACAAATTAGCCAATGCTTGATCAACAATCATGATTAGGAAATAACAATACTAACATGCCAACCCCATCTTAACTACCAGAGCCCTGTTCCACAAAGCGATCATAGCACTGCGACAGTTGCAAGTCTATGTTAAAGTATGGGACTTACCATCTTCCCCAGGCAAGGGCGTTAACTGACTGTAAGAGTCCAGTTTCCACCCTTATCGAACTAGGTTGAAAATTTCCAGGCTCGATCGTAGCACCACCAGTGGCTATTACAAGTGATATCCCTTCTATGTCCCTCCTATTAACCAATCAGATTTCATCTCTTATATCACTTGTATTTGCTTCAAACAAAATGGCTGCGCCCAGTCCAGATGATCTGATCAATAATCAAGATCTATATTGGGTCTTACCCCACGAAGTGCACTGACATATTTCTTTGTATTCTAATTCGTAGGACCATGAATATTCTTTCAGTTCATCAAGTAAAAAAAGAAGGCAAAATATGGCGATTTTCTATTCTTTAGTCTGTACATTTATAAAGATTAATAGGTTTAATCAAAAGATATATTTCCCTCAAATAAATGGTAAGCATTATAAAAAATAAACAACTTTTCCTTGATTTTAAAATATAAATTGAGTCAATGTCTTTAAAATCCGACCTTAGTGCTCGCTACTGGTATACTTAGTGAAGCAGTAGTGAGCACAATTATGTGAGTTTAATGAGTTTGAAAGACAGAGTATGAGTGTAATTATTTTGATTACTAGTAAACATAGAGGACACTTGGCTCAGGAATTCTGTTACGAAGGAGATGGGTTCAATTACAGGAAATAGTCCAACCACAACTGTTGACAAATGAGTCAGATAGTCCCCACAGACCAGCGACACTGTGGCATGTTTACAGTAATATCAAGCACAGATCTCACTGCGAAGGTAGTGACATGAAATGCGTGGGTACCTACTTTTGTGGACGCTTTGACACCTTCGTAAAACTTGCCCATAGCTAAGTAGGCCAGGCCTTGCATATATTGGCAGTGAACGTTTTCCGAGTCGATTTCTAAACATTTCTGAAACAGAAAAATATGTGCACAATGATAATTGAACTAAAACTTGTCATGGTCACTAAGGTGCCAATTCCCGAGGCAAAGGCGTCCACTAGCCCTGAACCAAAACTTGTCGTGGTCACTAAGGTGCCATCTTCCCGAGGCAAGAGCGTCCGCTAGCCCTGAACAAAAACTTGTCATGGTCACTAAGGTGCCACTAAGGAGGCAAAGGCGTCCACTAGCCCTGAACCAAAACTTGTCTTGGTCACTAAGGTGCCATCTTCCCGAGGCAAGAGCGTCCGCTAGCCCTGAACCAAAACTTGTCGTGGTCACTAAGGTGCCATCTTCCCGAGGCAAGAGCCTCCACTAGCCCTGAACCAAAACTTGTCGTGGTCACTAAGGTGCCATCTTCCCGAGGCAAGAGCGTCCGCTAGCCCTGAACCAAAACTTGTCGTGGTCACTAAGGTGCCATCTTCCCGAGGCAAGAGCGTCCGCTAGCCCTGAACCAAAACTTGTAGTGGTCACTAAGGTGCCACTAAGGAGGCAAAGACGTCCACTAGCCCTGAACCAAAACTTGTCATGGTCACTAAGGTGCCATCTTCCCGAGGCAAGAGCGTCCACTAGCCCTGAACCAAAACTTGTCATGGTCACTAAGGTGCCACTAAGGAGGCAAAGGCGTCCACTAGACCTGAACCAAAACTTGTCGTGGTCACTAAGGTGCCATCTTCCCGAGGCAAGAGCGTCCGCTAGCCCTGAACCAAAACTTGTCATGGTCACTAAGGTGCCATCTTCCCGAGGCAAGAGTGTCCACTAGCCCTGAACCAAAACTTGTCGTGGTCACTAAGGTGCCATCTTCCCGAGGCAAGAGCGTCCGCTAGCCCTGAACCAAAACTTGTCATGGTCACTAAGGTGCCATCTTCCCGAGGCAAGAGCGTCTCTAGCCCTGAACCAAAACTTGTCATGGTCACTAAGGTGCCATCTTCCCGAGGCAAGAGCGTCTCTAGCCCTGAACCAAAACTTGTCGTGGTCACTAAGGTGCCATCTTCCCGAGGCAAGAGCGTCTCTAGCCCTGAACCAAAACTTGTCATGGTCACTAAGGTGCCATCTTCCCGAGGCAAGAGCATCCACTAGCCCTGAACCAAAACTTGTTGTGGTCACTAAGGTGCCATCTTCCCGAGGCAAAGGCATCCACTAGCCCTGAACCAAAACTTGTCGTGGTCACTAAGGTGCCATCTTCCCGAGGCTACCCCTAAACAAAGATCTGAAGACATCCCATTAGGGGTCACGTTAGAATGACCTTTCATCCGACTAATCAGAGCGTCGCTTACCAGATTATGAAAGTGACAGTTGGAATGTTATTTCTAATCATGCAACCTTGAAATCTTTAACACGGGGTATTCCGAACAATAGTTACGTGTTTAACGACTGAATCCATACAATCCAGACCATCTATTAGCCATTCCAGAATGTTCTTTTGTTCAGGTTTCAAATTTGTAATCGAGAATTTGTCAAAATATGTTTGAAGCGTGGTCAATCCATTGGTAATTCAAAGTTCACCGAAGGTCCTTCTGATGTGACCCGTAAAGGGATGTCCTCAGATCTTTGTTTAGCAGTAGCGATAACTAAGATCTGATTTTAATGATTGCTAGTGAAACAAAATTTTCAGTCGATGTCTCATTTATACTTTGGAACAATAGCATGATGACATTAAACAGTTGTTGTCACTTGAACACTTTTTATATTTTCCCCAGTGTTTCAACCATCTGTAGAAATGACATTATTGTTTGGTCATTACAAGAGATAAACACACAAGACATCTTCTATGTGAATATTTACATGTCTTCATTTTGAGTGTCACTCGGCAATAACAGGATAAAACAATGTCTGTCCAACTCGTAGTCAGCATAATGGGGTATCTACCCAGTATATTAAACTGTGGCATAGTATCGCGCAATCTCATTAAAATCAGATCTTAGTTCTAGCTACCGCTAAACAAAGATCTGAGGACATCCCATTAGGGGTCACGTCAGAACGACCTTTCATCCGACCAATCAGAGCGTCGCTTACCAGATCATGAAAGTGACAGTCGGAATGTGGTTTCTCATCATGCAGCCTCGAAAACTTTAAAACGGGGTATTCCTAACGATAGTTACGGGCTTAACGACTGAATCTATACAATCTAGACCATATATTAGCTATCTGAGAATGTTCTTTTGTTCAGGTTTCAAATTTTTAAGTGAGCATTTGTCAAAATATGTTTCGAAGCGTAGTCGCCAATTTGAAATTAGTGCTGTAAAGCACGAGAAAGCTGCCTTCTGATTGACTAATGTCGACTTCTTGTCAGTAATTCCATTGGTCGGTCAGAGTTTGCGAAAGGTCGGTCTGACGTGACCCGTAATGGGATGTCCTCAGATCTTTGTTTAGCAGCAGCGAGAACTAAGATCTGATTTTAATGAGATTGGGTATCGCTGGGCTAGCTCAACAGAACCAGCACAAGGGCAGGGTTAAAATCATAACAGCAAGGTTAACATGAGGTCTAATGGCTGATAGAAACTCTTCTTAAAAAATACCTTGTGCAGTGTGTATTATATAAAGACAGTGATAATTGTTCTTTCAGACAAGTAAACTGTATACATTATGAACAAGTGGTCCTGAAGATTCAGAAATTGAAAAGGTACGCCAGGTTCAAGTTATTGAGTATGGTTTTACACCGCTTTTAGCAATATTCAAGCAACATTACAGTGGGGGACACCAGAAAAGGGCTTCACACATTGTGCCCATGTAGGGAATCAAACCTGGGCTTTCGGCATGGCAAGCGAACGTTTTAGCCACTAGGCTACCCGACCGCCCCACATGAAGTTCGAAATGGTTCAAAAGCATTCTTCTTGTTGAACACTTAGTTTCCAAAGGGTACACTCAAGCATCGATAGGAGTGCTCTGTGGCCCATGTGACAACAACTACATTTGTGACGCTGCTGTACTGACGTTGAAGTCGTTGAGGGCAGCGTGGGAGTCTCCGCTGTGGTACATCATGCTTCCCTGTAGCTGCAGGGATAGGCTGTGGTTGGGGTCCAGCGACAGAGACTGGTTAAAACGACTTCTTGCTGCTTTCAAGTTACCTAATTCTCTGGGAAAAAATGATCATTTTTCAGAATTTGACACACTACATGGCTATCATATACATAAAACAACTGAGAGTAAGAGCTTCACAATACTTGCATGTGCATTTTAGCGATTCTCAATGCTGATTGGTCAATTGAAGTGATATGAAATCACAATGCTTCATTGTTGGGAAAATGTGATCATCTTCCCGAGGCAAGGGCGTTAACTGACAATAAACGTCCAGTTTCCACCCTTGCCGAACTAGGCTGGAATTCCGGAGTTACATTTTGGCTGGACTAACGAGTCCATGTATAGTCCAATCAAAAAGGAACTAAAGTACTCACGGCAAAAAACAAACCCTGTTTTTTCGATCTAAGATTTTAAATAAATGCAGTTAATATACAAAATATATAAATATTCACACAACTCAATTAGTACTAATTGGGCCTTGGCACAAATACAAAGGTTTTTATGTCTTTTTACGCGTAAAAGTGTGTAAAAATAATATTATTATTATTATTAGCTGTTATTTTTATTGTTGTTTTGATCACTTTTTTCCAGGCTAATTTGCATAATGCCTATAGCCTGTTTCTGCCATGTCAAGTTGGACTTAGTTTTATTTTTGAATGTTGAAACTGCCTACAAATTACCTCCTGTAAAGTACATTTTGTATTGAGCAATGAGATAAAACTAGCAAATCCAGACTAGTACTTTTCCAGTTGTTTTGTTATTTCGTATTTACATCTACTTAATGCTTTGTGTCGATTATTAAATCCAGCAAAACAGATATTTTTCATTTCCATGAGTACTTTAGACATCCGGTTTGTAAACAACATGGAATTCAACATGCTGATTTCGGTTGTCAGCAGGATTTACAAAGCATGTGTACTGCCAACTGGGTGTCGTTTCATGTTTTTAATCAAGCTGCTCAAGTGATTTGATGCACTTTGTGGGGTAAGACCCATTTTATTACAATATAGATCTTGATCAGTGATCAGATCGTCTTGACTGTGCGCCACCATTTTGTTTGAAGCAAATGCAAGTGATATGAGAGATGAAATCTGATTGGTTAATAGGAGGGACATAGTAGGGATATAACTTGTAATAGCCACTGGTGGCGCTACGATCGAGCCTTGGAAATTCCAGCCTAGTTCGGCAAGGGTGGAAACTGGACTTTTATAATCACTTAATACCCTTGCCTCGAGAAGATGAAATGCGATATGACATCATCGATTTTTTTATAAGATCACAAATGGATAACATTTTGTCATCCGAACCCAAGGAAAGCTTCAGTGAAGGTCACATTACATATAATTATCTTCATGATGGGTAATATTTAGAGTGAGTGAGTGAGTTTGGTTTAACACCGCTTCTAACAGTATTCCAGTTATATCGTGGCGTGTCAGCCTTATGTGGGAGGAAAGCCCGAAGTGATGCAGGTCTCAGATGTTTACCACTTCCGTGAAACCCACGAGCACGGGAATGGTGCTGACAAACCTAGAAACATAATTGGGGCGAACCGGGATTCGAACCCACAATCATAGGTTTCTGGGGTGCCCAAGGGATACAACTCTGCACAGCGAATCGCGGCGCCTTAGACGACTGGGCCACCCGTGCCCCTGGTAATATTTAGAATAATCTACTTGAAAGTAGAGGTTATTGTGACATTAATGCCCCAGATCTCCTGCTGAGCTGCTGAGTTTGGCCACCTGTGCCCCTGAAGATATAAAACAGGAACTCACTTGAACGCCTGTGCTAAACTTGTACATGCATCTATGTGATCGGGTTTCTTCTTCAGAATTTCTTTGAATACTTCTATTGCATTCTGAAAATAAAACATCATTTTTAGAACACAAAAAACAGCCAATGTCATGTAAGCAAGATTTCAGAAATTAATAGGGTCCGAACAAACAGGGTTTTAATTACTGCACCATGAAATGATATACTATCTCTGTCATGAAAATGTGCAGAGTGAAGATAACGTGTAGAGAAGGTCGCAAAATTTCTTGTTTATTACTTTGTGTAAGGATCCATCAACCCTGACTCGGCTCCTGTAGTACTCACCCTGACTCACCCCTGTAGTACTCACTCTGACTCACCCCTGCAGTACTCACCCTGACTCACCCCTGTAGTACTCACTCTGACTCACCCCTGCAGTACTCACCCTGACTCAGCCCCTGTAGTACTCACCCCCTGTACTACTCACCCTGACTCACCCCTGTAGTACTCACCCTGACTCACCCCCTGTAGTACTCACCCTGACTCGGCCCCTGCAGTATTCACCCTGACTCGGCCCCTCTAGTACTCACCCTGACTCACCCCTGTAGTACTCAACCCCTGTAGTTTTCACCCCTACTCACCCCCTGTAGTACTCACCCTGACACCCCCTGTAATTCTCATCCCTACTCAGCCCCTGTAGTCCTCGCCCTGTAGTACTCACTCCCTGAAGTACTCACCCTGACTCATCCCGTTGTTCTCACCCTGACTCACCCCTTGTAGTACTCACCCTGAATCAGCCCCTGTAGTACTCACCCTGACTCACCCCTGTAGTAATCACCCCCTGTAGTACTCACACCCTGTAGTACTCACCCCCTGTAGTACTCACCCTGACTCACCCCCTGTAGTACTCACACTGAATCAGCCCCTGTAGTACTCACCCTGAATCAGCCCCTGTAGTACTCACCCTGACTCACCCCTGTAGTAATCACCCCTGTAGTACTCACCCTGACTCACCCCCAGTAGTACTCACCCTAACTCGGTCCCTGTAGTACTCACCCTGACTCGGCTCCTGCAGTACTCACCCTGACTCGGCTCCTGCAGTACTCACCCTGACTCGACCCCTGAAGTACTCACCCTGACTCGGCTCCTGCAGTACTCACCCTGACTCGGCCCCTGTAGTACTCACCCTGACTCGACCCCTGTAGTACTCACCCTGACTAGGCTCCTGTAGTACTCACCCTGACTCAGCCCTGAAGTACTCACCCCGACTCACCCCTGTAGTACTCACCCTGACTCACCCCTGAAGTACTCACCCTGACTCGACCCCTGTAGTACTCACCCTGACTCGGCCCCTCTAGTACTCACCCTGACTCACCCCTATAGTACTCAACCCCTGTAGTTTTCACCCCTACTCACCCCCTGAAGTACTCACCCTGACACCCCCTGTAGTTCTCATCCCTACTCAGCCCCTGTAGTACTCACCCTGACTCACCCCCTGTAGTACTCAACCTGACTCATCCCATTGTTCTCACCCTGACTCACCCCCTGTAGTACTCACCCTGAATCAGCCCCTGTAGTACTCACCCTGACTCACCCCTGTAGTAATCACCCCCTGTAGTACTCACACTGTAGTACTCACCCCCTGTAGTACTCACCCTGACTCACCCACAGTAGTACTCACACTGATTCACCCCCTGTAGTACTCACCCTGAATCAGCCCCTGTAGTACTCACCCCTGTAGTAATCACCCCTGTAGTACTCACACTGTAGTACTCACCCCCTGTAGTACTCACCCTGACTCACCCCCAGTAGTACTCACACTGACTCACCCCCTGTAGTACTCACCCTAACTCGGTCCCTGTAGTACTCACCCTGACTCGGCTCCTGCAGTACTCACCCTGACTCGGCCCCTGTAGTACTCACCCTGACTCGACCCCTGAAGTACTCACCCTGACTCGGCTCCTGCAGTACTCAATCTGACTCGGCTCCTGCAGTACTCACCCTGACTCGGCCCCTGAAGTACTCACCCTGACTCGACCCCTGTAGTACTCACCCTGACTCGACCCCTGTAGCACTCACCCTGACTCACCCCTGTAGTACTCACCCTGACTCACCCCTGTAGTACTCACCCTGACTCGACCCCTGTAGTACTGGGCCAGACCCAGGTTGAAGTAGGACATTATGTACATGTCCCCCTCAGACTCCAGATTCTGTTTAAAATCCGTCTCAGCATCCGCAAAATTCTGGAATGTCACACCAAAATGTCAGCCAGGTATAGCCTTACAGAGCTTGGTTGGATTGTCAGAGTGGTATCTCTTAAACATATTTAGGATGGTGGAGCCTTATGTACATTTCCTTTCAGCCAACAAGACTTTTTTCATAATCATCAACAGGATTCATAAAAATTCATACAAATTTGTAACACTAGATCCAGTGAGGGACTTTTGACAGTGTTCCAGTTATATCATGGTGTGTCAATTGGATGTGGGAGGAAAGCCTGATGTGATGCAGGTCTTAAACATTAACCACCCATGCACTGGTATGATGCAATCAACATAGAAACATAAATGGGGACAACCTGTAACACTAGACAATGTAGTGAGAGAGTTGGGTTTAACACTGCTTATAACAGTATTAGTTATATCACGTGGGTTTCTCCCAGGTGGTAAACGTCTGAGACCTGCATCACTTCTTTCACGGGCTTTCCTCCCACATTAAGCTGACACGCTGCGATATAACTGGAATACTGTTAAATGCGGCGTTAAACCCAACTCACGCACTCACTCATACAATTCTAATCCGGATTACCCATGTGGGTTATATATTAGAAGACTCAGATACTGAGTCATCATACTGAGTGTTGCAATTACTATAATATGAAATATTTATCTCACCTCTAGTAAAAGGTTAATGACTCCCCTCATAAAATAAAGTTTTTCTGTAGGCCTGTGTTTGATGGCCACTGTGAGATCCTCCAGTGCTTCGTTGTACTGTCCGAGGCTGATATACACCTGCAACACACTCAGTCATCAACAGGGGGACATTAACACAACAGATTACTTAGGCCTTTTATCTTATGTTAATTGGTTTGCAAAATGTTTCACCCAAAATTCGGTGTAGGCAGTAAAATAAAATTGTAACACAAATCTGAAGTTCCTTGCTAATGAAAGAAAAAAGTATGCTTCAACACTTTGAGGTCATTGAGTGATGGAACTCGTAGTGCTCTGTGGGTTCTGTCCTCTTTGTTTACATCCAGTAATATTTGGAAAGAAGTGTATCAAACTGAGAATTGGTCAGAATTAAGACTGTCATCTCTTTAGTAGTACAGCAGCCATCAGTTTGAAACCAGAAGGTTTTTCTGTCCTCCAAATAACTTAAAAGCATATTGCTTACAAGTACCAAACTTTTACACCAGAGGTGCCCTTGAAATAACTTGTAAGTGTCATTTTCTTCATCTGTGAGAAAAATCAAAATATGAACTTGTCTCATTTTCCATTTTTTAAGATTGAAACTTAATACAAAGTTATTGATATAAATATAATTTGTAAATATTATTGATCATTTATTTAATTTTATCTTTATGTCTACACAACAACTGGAGGCTCGCTTGACTTTCCATGTGTTCCAGTAACTGGTTTAATTGTCTTGACACAGTACCAGTGATGACAATGATTGTTGGCAAGTTCCAAACATGACATACTTTCATTCCTACAGTAGGGTTTTCAATCTTGACCATCTTCCCGAGGGTTTCCAGAAGCTGATATCAAAACTAGATTTTGCCTCGGAAGACTTTGATATAGGTTGGTGGACATTCAGGCCTCGGGAAGACTTTGATAGAGGCTCGTGGACAGTCTTGCCTCAGGAAGACTTTGATAGAGGCTCGTGGATGCTCTTCCCTAACTTTGCTAGAGGCTTGTGGACACTTTGGCCTCGGGAAGACTTTGATAGAGGCTCGTGGACAGTCTTGCCTCAGGAAGACTTTGATAGAAGCTCGTGGACAGTCTTGCCTCGGGAAGACTATGATAGAGGCTCGTGGACACTTTGGCCTCGGGAAGACTTTGATAGAGGCTCGTGGACAGTCTTGCCTCGGGAAGACTTTAATAGAGGCTCGTGGACAGTCAGGCCCCGGGAAGACTTTAATAGAGGCTCGTGGACAGTCTTGCCTCGGGAAGACTTTGATAGAGGCTCGTGGACACTTTGGCCTCGGGAAGACTTTGATAGAGGCTCGTCGACAGTCTTGCCTCGGGAAGACTTTGATAGTGGCTTGTGGACAGTCTTGCCTCGGGAAGACTTTGCTAGAGGCTTGTGGACACTTTGGCCTCGGGAAGACTTTGATAGAGGCTCGTGGATGCTCTTGCCTCAGGAAGACTTTGATAGAGGCTTGTGGATACTTTGGCCTCGGGAAGACTTTGCTAAAGGCTCGTAGACAGTCTTGTCCTAGGAAGATGACTCTTGACAAAGGCCAGTGTTGGAATGCCACTGTTACTCGTTCAAGCACTGATTTTATGAGTGGGTCATAATACAAATTATTGATGATTCTACACAAATTACTACATTGCGGGTTAAAATATTTCAAAGAATCCAGTGTTACCTCTGCTCTCCTCTCATAGGCTTCATGTCTCTTCTTATCAGTCTGAATGGCTTCTGTAAAGTCAGACAGAGCTAATACTGCATTTTCCGGCACCTGCGGACAGAACAAGGCTCATGTGTCATGTGTACAGAGATAGTGACTGAGTAGGGTCTTACACGACTATAATAATAATAATAATAATAATAATAATAATAATAATAATAATAATAATAATTTAAAAAAATTAAATAATAATAATAATGTGCCCCTTATAATGCGCTAGCCTCCATGTAGAATTCATGCACAAAGCGCTACATTCAAATGTCACTCTGGAAAGCTTTTGTTAACAAATGTGTCTTTAGTTTTGCTTTGAATGTCTGAAATGTTGAGGAAAGTCTAATCTCAAGTGGAAGATCATTCCATAACTATGGGGCAGCCACACCGAAAGTCTTTAGTCCATAGCTGGAAAGTCTATACTGAGGAACAGGTGTTGATTTGCTGATGGAAGAGTTCTTGGTGGATTATGAAGCTGGAGCAGAGTGGAGGGATAAGCTGGAGCCTGGTTGTTGACACACTTGTAAGTCAAAGACAGCATTTTGTACATGATCCTTGACTCAACCGGATCAGTGTTCCCGCTGGCTATTGAAACTGCCAGTCCTTGTGTACTGGCAACTCTAAAAATTACCAGTCCCCCCTAATTTTTGCCAGTCCCAACTTTCAACAAATAAAAAAACGTATGGAAATTATTTGGTTTTAATTCTTGCAACATCATGTTCAGTGCAAAGATGTCATCTCTGAAGTAACTTAGTTAGATCTATACGCCATCCACACAAACTTCAGTCACAATTTTCTCTTCTTTTTTTATATATTTCGAGACAAGTCACTACAAATGGATATTTAACCTATTAATAGACACGGGGAAACCCTGATGGTAACAGACAAGCCGACTTGAATATCACCAATGTTTTGTTCAAAAACAAAGATTTAAAAGGTACTTTATTTGCCGGTCCACAGGGACTGGCAGTCACATGAATAACCGGTCCAAGCCTAATTTTACTGTTTAAAAAACTGGTAATTACCGGTAAACGGGAACGCTGCCGAAGCCAGTGTAGATGCTAATAGCAATATTCCAGCCATCCATTCATATGTACAATCAACTTCGAGGATTCAATATGACTAGCATTTTAACCACGATGTTACTCCAAATTCCCCCATTATACTGGATGTAGTGAAGACAGTGACAAAAATGCCTTAGCTTTGTATCATTGATGGCAACCTACATTTAAGCCTTTCCTTGCATAGGCCACTCCTCGGCCATAGAATGCAGCAACAGTTCTTGGCTTGACCTGAAAATATTTTGAAATGTTTACATACACTTTTGATAATTCATTTAAAGTGCTTCGAAAAATATGTAGGGAAACAATAACTCAATATTTCATTCCGTAATCACACATTGTTTTTTCTTGTTATGAACTATCATTTACTACATGATGTCATCACACAGTTTTAATAATAATAACAACAATTACATATTTTTTTATTTTTTTTATTTTTAAAAATATCTAATTTTTTTATTTATTTATTTATATTAACAGCCTTTTCAAGACACATATAATTTTAAGGTCTTCTAAAGGCTCGACGGCTCTATTAAGAGCCTTTTCAAGGCAGCCTGAAAGATGAAGATAAATCTGACATCTAATGGATGATGGAATGATTAACAGAACACTCACCTGAAGTATTTTTGTAAACTTTTGAATGGCGAGGTCATGTGATCCCAAATTAACCAAGACCACTGCCAGCGCTACAATACAAAGTCATTCATAGTGTGATCAATACAAGCAGCACATGCATATACAACACTAGCATATGAAGACGAATCTGAATGTAGATCTGACAAGCCCTCCGTGTTCTCATGATGTAATAGGGTATTTATTCCCCCTGGAGATTCTTTCCAGGAGAAAGTAACATCCTAGGTAAAAATATCCAGTTGAAATTCTTGACAAAGATATTACGTCCACAGCAAGTATCTTAAAAACATTGGAATATTTTCCCATATGAATATTATTTCTTCCAGAAACGTTTTGAACCGAAAACATTAATCGTTTACAATGTCAGGTCAGCTTCAAATCAACCTCTCCGTGTGGATTATTCTAAATATGGTAAGAGTCAGCAAAACATTTGGAGCAGCTCATCTGATTCTGATTCTTGAAAATGAATGATAATGGGCAGTTCCAAGTGGGGACCATCTTCCCGAGGCAAGAGAGTTAACTGACTTTAAAAGTCCAGTTCCCACCCTTGCCAAACTAGGCTGGAATTCCTGGGCTCGATCGTAGCGCCACCAGTGGCTATTACGAGTTGTGTCCTTTCTATGCCTCTCCTATTGACCAATCAGATTCAACCTCTCGTATCACTTGCATTTGCTTCAAACAAAACGGTGGCGCCCAGTCAAGACGATCTGATCGATAGTCAAGATCTATATCGCGAAGTGCATCAAATAATCTGAGCACCTTGATTAAAAACATGAAAAGATTTAGAAAATATCTGTTGACAACGAGTTGGCGGTGCACATGCTTTGCAAATCCTGCAGTCGACCGAAATCTGCATGAGACTTTACGAACCTGATTTCGATTTTGATTGGACTATGCATAGACTCGTTAGTCCAGCCAAAATGTAACTCCATAATACCAGCCTAGTTTGGCAAGGGTGGAAACTGGACTTTTATAGTCAGATAACTCTCTTGCCTCAGGAAGATGGCCTGGTTCGGCAAGGGTGGAAACTGGACTTTTATAGTCAGTTAACTCTCTTGCCTTGGGAACATGGCCTGGTTCGGCAAGGGTGGAAACTGGACTTTTATAGTCAGATAACTCTCTTGCCTTGGGAACATGGCCTGGTTCGGCAAGGGTGGAAACTGGACTTTTATAGTCAGTTAACTCTCTTGCCTCGGGAAGATGGCCTGGTTCGGCAAGGGTGGAAACTGGACTTTTATAGTCAGTTAACTCACTTGCCTCGGGGAGATGGCCTGGTTCGGCAAGGGTGGAAACTGGACTTTTATAGTCAGATAACTCTCTTGCCTCAGGAAGATGGCCTGGTTCGGCAAGGGTGGAAACTGGACTTTTATAGTCAGATAACTCTCTTGCCTCGGGAAGATGGCCTGGTTCGGCAAGGGTGGAAACTGGACTTTTATAGTCAGATAACTCTCTTGCCTCAGGAAGATGGCCTGGTTCGGCAAGGGTGGAAACTGGACTTTTATAGTCAGTTAACTCTCTTGCCTCGGGAAGATGGCCTGGTTCGGCAAGGGTGGAAACTGGACTTTTATAGTCAGTTAACTCTCTTGCCTCGGGAAGATGGCCTGGTTCGGCAAGGGTGGAAACTGGACTTTTATAGTCAGATAACTCTCTTGCCTCAGGAAGATGGCCTGGTTCGGCAAGGGTGGAAACTGGACTTTTATAGTCAGTTAACTCTCTTGCCTCGGGAAGATGGCCTGGTTCGGCAAGGGTGGAAACTGGACTTTTATAGTCAGTTAACTCTCTTGCCTCGGGAAGATGGCCTGGTTCGGCAAGGGTGGAAACTGGACTTTTATAGTCAGTTAACTCTCTTGCCTCAGGAAGACGAGTGGGGACTATAACCAGAAAATTCATCTTTCTTTTTTATGGGATGGTCAAAGTTTGCTTTAATAGGTTTTCCTGACATGACAGCCTATGGATTTTGTGATCTAAAGGCAGGGAGGAAACAAATCTGAGTAGAAAGATCTCATGTTGATAAGACTGATATGAAGGCATACATCTTGACAATGAGGAACTGGATCTGTCATTCATGTAAATAATACATTCCACAGGAAAAATAACACATTATTTGATCAATATTACCTTGCAGGGCCTCATTCCACAATGTGATCTTAGCGATATGGTGAACATAACAATAGTTGTAGAGCTAAGACGATCGTAACTGCCATACTTTAACATAGACTTACGACAGTTGTAGAGCTAACATCATGAACATGATCATAACTCCCATACTTTAACACAGACTTACAACAGTTGTTGTGCTAAGATGATCATAACTCCCTTACTTTAACATAGACTTACGACAGTTGTAGAGCTAATATGATAATAACTCCCATACTTTAACATAGACTTACGACAGTTGAAGTGCTAAAATGATCGCAAATCCCATACTTTAACACAGACTTACGACAGTTGTAGAGCTAAGACGATCCTAACTGCCATACTTTAACACAGACTTACGACAGTTGTAGAGCTAAGACGATCGTAATTCCCATACTTTAACACAGACTTAGGACAGTTGTAGAGTTAAGACTATCATAGATCCCATACTTAAACACAGACTTACGACAGTTGTAGAGCTAAGACGATCGTAATTCCCATACATTAACATAGACTTACGACAGTTGTAGAGCTAAGACGATCCTAACTGCCATACTTTAACACAGACTTACGACAGTTGTAGAGCTAAGATGATCGTAATTCCCATACTTTAACATAGACTTACGACAGTTGTAGAGCTAAGATGATCGTAATTCCCATACTTTAACACAGACTTACAACAGTTGTAGAGCTAAGATGATCGTAATTCCCATACTTATACACACACTTACGACAGTTGTAGAGTTAAGACTATCATAGATCCCATACTTAAACACAGACTTACAACAGTTGTAGAGCTAAGACGATCCTAACTGCCATACTTTAACACAGACTTACGACAGTTGTAGAGCTAAGACGATCGTAATTCCCATACTTTAACATAGACTTACGACAGTTGTAGTGCTAAAATGATCGCAAATCCCATACTTTAACACACACTTACGACAGTTGTAGAACTAAGACTATCATAAATCCCATACTTTAACATAGACTTACAACAGTTGTAGAGCTAAGACGATCGAAACTCCCATACTTTAACACAGACTTACGACAGTTGTAGAGCTAAGACGATCGAAACTCCCATACTTTAACACAGACTTACGACAGTTGGAGAGCTAAGACGATCGTCACTCCCATACTTTAACATAGACTTACGACAGTTGTAGAGCTAAGACGATCGTAACTCCCATACTTTAACACAGACTTACGACAGTTGTAGAGCTTAGACGATCGTAACTCCCACACTTTAACACAGACTTACGACAGTTGTAGAGCTAAGACGATCGTAACTCCCATACTTTAACACAGACTTACGACAGTTGTAGAGCTAAGACGATCGTTACTCACATACTTTAACACAGACTTGTGGCAGCAGTAGTGCTATGATTGCATTGTGGAAGGGGGCTCCGGAAGTTATTATGATCACATGATGATGCCACAAATTTACACATGTAGTCAAACACCGTTGTGTTGATGAATAAAGAAAGAAATATGCAGGGACCAAGCTTTAACTTTGAAATAACCATGCATTTAAAACATCAAAGTTTGACAACAGTGTTTTTTTGTTTGTTTGTTGTTTAACGCAGCACTCAGCAATATTCCAGATATATGACGGCAGTCTGTGAATAATAAAATCTGGACCAGACAATCCAGTGATTGACATCATGAGCATCGATCCACGCAATTGGGATACGACGGCAGGCATCAACCAAGTCAGCAAGCCTGACCACCCGATCTTGTTAGTCGCCTCTTACGACAAGCATAGTCGCCTTTTACGGCAAGCATGGGCTACTGCAGATCTATTCTACCCCGGATCTTCACGGGTCCAACAGTGTTATACTGTATATGGTATATATATCTGCATACTGCCAAACTATTAATACCAGGTATTTTTAATAATTTGGTCTTAGGTAAAACATCCTTTTATTACCATGTTTACATTAAATGACTTGACAAATCATCTTACCAATCTTTTGGTCAATATCAGAATCTCCGGTTGCCATGGGAACAAGACCTTGTTCAACTATACTGTTTGCTAAAATCTGTAAGAAAAATCATTGAAATGATTATGTAAGTTATCATAAATGTATTTCAGTGTTTTTTCAATCAAACATACAAGATAATCCTGTCAACAACTAACAGTTCCAAAATGTCCCTCTAAGATGTTATTTCAATGGAAGACAAGATCACCGCCACCACAAAAATAGAACTGCTACTGGTTTTTCTTTGCGAGTGTAACTGGGCGTGGAGTCATCCCACAGATGACATCCTTACCTTGTCAGTTTGCTCATGGGGTTAACCGCTTTGGTCATGTCGACAAGGCGTCCGACCTCAGACCAGGGCCCTGTTCCACAAAGCGATCTTAGCACTACGACTGTAGTAAGTGAGTGTTAAAGAATGGGAGTTACGATCGACTTAGCGCTAAGATCACTTTGTGGAACGGGGCCCTGGGGTCTGAATCCCATCATAGGCTGCTACATTTTATGGCCGCTACATTTGCAGAAGTTCGAATTTCAATTTTCACTTAAGCCACTATATTTGCATTTGTTGGATCATGAATCCACTACATTCTTCAAAACTGGAAAAAAATTAATCCAATTTTACACTTATTTTTGCTGACATGTCATACAAGCAAACATTAATAAAACTTATGTTTCTCAATTTGACTTACCGTATTCGACTTAATAAGCGCCCCGCTCTAATAACCCCCGGCGATATTTGCTAATATATTGGCTAGTTAACAAGCCCAATTAGCACCCCTTCCGATTGATCAATGTACACAAGACTTATTTAATTGTGTATAATACACACTCGTGTATTATATGCACCCTTAATTATGGGGAATTAAATTCTGGAAAAATATATCTGTACGCACAGACTTTTCTTTTGTATCATTTCAGGCTGTCAGAATAAACCAAGAAATTTATGATCTTTCAACTCTGTTTTTTTTCCCCACCAAAATGTTATTCTAATAAGAGCCCCAATTTCTAATTTTGAGAGCGCCCTAGGCGCTTATTACATCAAATACGGTATATGTTGCCAAATCGTTCAGTAAATGGATCTGGTTGTCAAACTTAATGACTTAGCGGATTTAATTCAAAGTATCATCTTCTTCATCATAGCGCGCACATGATGGCATCTTGTTTTACTTTTGCTCGATTTCATCAGAAGAGAGAAATATTCAACCAAAAATGATGCACAAAACTTACTCTTGTAAAGAAATATTAAAAAATAAAGCATATAATCACCTTGCTTAAATATAACTTTAGAAGAGACATGTGCGAGGTGTCACATGACTTATTCACGCATACAGAAAAATAAAAAAACACGATGATGCAATTTCAGTTCTGTTGTAACTTTCTATGTCTGTTATTTCTTCTCCAAATTACAATTCTAAAACCTCTTTGAGCTATTTTTACAAAAATGCATACTGTATTGGACGTAATAAGCGCCCCACTCTAATTATATTGGATAGTGAACAATCTCAGTGAGCACCCCTTCCGATTGATCAATGTAAGACTTATTTATTCGTGTATCATACGCACTCGTGTGTTATATGCATCCTTAATTATTGGTAATTAAATCCTCGAAAAATATATCTGTCCTTCATAAACATTTCAGGCTGTCAGCATAAACCACGAAATTTACGATCTTTCAACTCTGTTTTTTTCACCAAAATACTATTTTAATAAGAGCCCCCTATTTCTAATTTTGAGAGCGCCCTGGGCGTTTATTACGTCAAATACGGTAACCCTGTATATATATATATATATATATATATATATATATATATATATATATATATAGTGAAATTCATAGTACATAGTGTTGAGGATAAACATGTGTAAATCGAATTTGGGCAATATTGGTGTGTCAGTTTGCAGATAACAAATTGATAAAAGCATTTCTTTCTAATTGTAATGAATATAAAAATTGAGCGCAATACCAGAGAAAATAGAAAATGTTACTTGTATATCTGAAGCGGTCTGTGTGATCACGTGGCATGTGCTGTTTAGATGATGGCGATGACTGGTACGGTTGGTCAATGGGAAATTTTTATTTCCTCTGTTTTAATTCCATGTCGTCGCATTATAACAGATATCTAGTGAGGTTTTGCCCACGAACAGAAATACCGTATTCAATGTAATAAGCGCCCAGGACGCTCTCAAAATTAGAAATAGGGGGCTCTTATTAGAATATTATTTTGGTGAAAAAAACAGTTGAAAGATAAATTTTGTGGTTTATGCTGACAGCCTGAAATGTTTATGTACAACAGATATATTTTTCTAGAATTTAATTGCCCATAATTAAGGGTGCATATAACACACGAGTGCATATTGTACAAGTCTTGTGAACATTGATCAATTGGAAGGGGTGCTAATTGGGATTGTTCACTAGCCAATATATTAGCAAACATCGAATACGGTATGCGCATTTGCTCATAGTTTCACACAATCCAAAGTTATTTGCACAGTCAACTTTGAACTTGGAATATTTAAAAAATTAAATGAAAAAAATGGCGATATGCTCAGAGAAATGCTAGACTATATCCATGCCACTACATGGCTAATACTGAGAAAGCATGCTAACCTGGGGATCCTCTGGACATGAGGACGGATCATCTTTATTGCAAACTTCGTTCATATGCTGAGAGGTACAAAGCCCAGCTGGGAGATTGTGTTTGCCTGTCTCTGTTAGGAAATGTTAAATCATGAAAGATATTAATAAGGATATCACAGCACAAGATAGAAACATATGTTAAATTCCAGTTAGAATTTATGTTCACACATAATTCACTTAGACTAACATATAGTCTCTAAAATGAACATATCGTACAGAAAAAAGTTGTTCAGTTATCTTAATAAAAATATAATAAAAAAGGAGCCCAGTGATTCTCTTCATTTTCAGATACTGCAGTAATCTAGACTTGCCAAACATTATAGACTTGCATGGGCTGTAGTTGATATATTTGTATCAGGGTCTGTAAGACAGACTAATAATTCACTCACAGCACGGCAGAATTATTTTGAAATCAAAGTACACAAAAGTGGAATTAATTTAGTCATTTTCGTAATGAAAACAATTATATGTATATATTTCTAACACATTTGTGACCAGAACACAAATAAATATTTGGATATATACATTCAAAATACATCCATAAGTCAAAATTCATATACACTGACAGTGATTAAATCATGAATACTGTTACAGATGCATTAATAAATAATGAAACAAAAGTTTACAATGTATCACAATAAAATGACAACTACTCCCACATATCAAACAGATCTAGGCTACATATTCACCAACAGCTGATCAATACAAGTGGGTGTATATTGCGGTCGACCGACCGACCGGTCACTCGTGTCAGTCCACTCGATAACACAACTGTACGTGACTGATTTGGATGATATTCCTCATGGCTTAATTGAATTGCATATGCTTGACAACTGGCGTTAAATTAATACTATTTTTAAACTGTAACAACACGCACCACACTCGGCGACGACTTCACCGGGCGTCAACACGATGTTGAACGTAAGCGGAGTTGTTTCCCATTCTCTGTTGCTTGCCTTATTCCCACATACGAGGCAAGGAGCGCCTTTAATCGGCTCGATTCGTTTTAATTCAAAGACCTGTCTGGTTCCATCTTCATGTTCAATCTGGACATTGGCGATTTCGCAGAACTGATTGTCCTGCAGTGTAAAACATAACTGTAAAACCACCACCGTTAACCACAACAGCGCCATGTCACCATAAACTAAAGTGGACTTCTGCGTTCAAGATGTTATGGCAAGGGAAGTAAATCCTGTTAGAATACGAGGTGGATGGTAGTGCATATTTATTCTCTGTCAGCAGCTTAGTTAGACAAGTTCGATTCCAGGTTTGAAATTATTCTTAACATTTTGCTATCGATTGGAGGCGGTAATTTTTTTATATTTTTCATTCATTTTCACGTGGTGACTGATAATAATTCGACCTATAGTATATCAGTTCCACGATAAACGGTTAATTTGGTAAAGACTACTGAACATTTTATCGATATATATAAAAGTACAAAAGAAACACCTCTCCTACATTTTAGGGATTAGTATTGTACAGCGGGTGTTCTACAAATAGAACGAACATGTTCACCGATGACGTCATACACAATAAACTAAGACAATGACGTCATCACATTAATGACGTCATATTACCAATCTATATGACAACGTTAATCGCCATGTTTTTATAGTCGACAGTTTCGAAAGATGGATTATTTTTCAATCTGTATTTGACACGCTAATAAGCGGCTGCTGAAAATGAAACGGTATGGCAAATTTTCTAACAGACATTTCGGAAGAGACACGGTTGAAGATTACCTTGGTGTCATCCATTCTCAGCCTGATTTGCATTATTCCTTCGCTCATGCTGCTAGGTGCCGGGGCCTACATTCAAGTTGCTGTTCAGACAAAAGCTCGCTTGATTAAGGATTTAGATGCAACAGTTTTACCTTCATGTATAATTACTATAGGATTTTTGTGCGTGTTTCACAATTCCTTTTGTGGGGCGGTGGTGTTTTTGAGCAGGAGAAGGAAGAAGAGGGAGGGCGTCATTAAATTTTTGTTCCCTACAGTTATAATAGGCCTTGTGCTCTGTCTGGCGATTTTCGCAGCAGGGATTATGTGTTTTGTACAAATTACCCATCTAAGCGATTCATTACGAAAGGGCATATCCACAGCAATGAAAGAATACAAATCGGATCCCGTCTTGAAACAAGAGATGGACATTGTGCAGATTGAGTTCGAGTGTTGTGGAAACGATAAGTACACAGACTGGTTTGCCGTTTCCTGGATACATAGTGACTACCTAGCTGCTAAAAGGTAAGGTTATATGAAGGAAAAGTATCACAACAAAACGCATGTGTTTGCCTAGCCTTATGATCGTGTTCTTGAAATGAAATCTAAATTTTACGTACACGTGGAACAATTTACATAACGTGTCCTAGGTAACAGTTTAACTGACCAATAAATACAAATTAAATTCCTTATACAGATTAAGGTCCGGCAAGGGGAACGGATGGCCCAGTCGTCTTAGCCGCCGCAATTCGCTGTGCAGAGTTGCGTCCCTTGGGCGCGCAAGAAACCTATGCTTGTGGGTTTGAATCCCGGTTTGCCCCGATTATGTTTCTGGGTTTGTCAGCACCATACCCGTGCTCGTGGGTTTCACCGAAGTGGTAAACGTCTTAGACCTGCATCACTTCGGACTTTCCTCCCACATGAAGCTGACACGCCTCGATATAACTGGAATACTGTTAAAAGCGGCGTTAAACCCAACTCACTCACTCACTATTGATCATATATTTCTCAGGTCAGATTTAACAAAAAGAATCAGTATATTTTACACTTTTTGTACACTTTAACAGCAGTTTAAACTATGTGTGATGAAAATATGTCTAGCGCAATCACTTGGATACACGATACGTTACTTACTTCAAACGAGAATGGGCGCGATTCGAACCCAAGATCGGCACAGAGAATTGCGGCACCTTAGACGACTGGGCTAACCCCATCCCCTAGTACATGTATATAGGAGAGCTTGACGTTCTGAGCTAAACCGCTTCCCTTTAACACCCCAGTGCTGTTGCAAACAACATCAACGACGACGTGCCCTACAGCTGTTGTAATCCCGCGTCACCACGTCCCTGTATCAACCACGGCATCCACGACAACAAACTTCACCATGACTACGATTTCCGAATGTCGACGACACTACACAACACGGGATGTCGTCCCGCCCTGGACAAGTTCTATGGGTGGGGGTTGCTCACGGATGTGGGTGCTCTCATCGTGTGTATTTCGCTCCTGCAGGTACGTGGTAGAATAAGGGACTGGAGCCAAATTGGACACAATTGAAATGTCAAATTTTAAACTTGCGAAAACTTTAAAATATTGATATGAACGTTATCATTTTCTTTTTCTGCCACTTGCACGTTTTGGGCTTCTTACATGACTAAGTACATATACTGAACAACAAAAGTTCCTGTGACATTGAATAAGATTTAATGCAAGTTATGTTTTTTACCAAATCTGAAACAGATAAAAGACTCCCGTAAGTGTTCAAATGGTTTAATTTGCCATACTGACTTCAGAAAATGCGTGATTTCATAAAAAACAACAACCCACGAACATGCCAAAATGTCAATTTACAAATCAATAGCGTGTGTGTCCACCTCTGGTTGCGATGCAAGCAACACATCTTCGTCTCATGTAACGGACCAGGCGTCGCACAAAGTCCTGTGGGATATCTGTCCATATCTGCTGGAGCATGTTTCGAAGTTCCTGGAGTGTCTGTGGATCACGTGGTTGACGTCGAAGGCGCCGATCCGTCTCATCCCACATGTGCTCGATTGGTGAGAGATCAGGGGAGCGAGCCGGCCAGGGGATGACATTCACGTTGTTTTGTTGAAGAGAATCCTGAACAAGTCGAGCAATATGAGGTCGGGCGTTGTCATGTTGAAAGGTAATGCATGGGCCATGACGACGCAAAAACGGTAGAACAACAGGGCCGATGATCTCGTCGCGGTAGCGCTGTCCATTGAGATTTCCCTCTACCACTATCAAACGGGTCCTCTGTCTTGCTGTCGCCCCCGAACCGATCTTCTTCCATGACACAATGATTGACGTAACGTTCAGCTCGACGTCGGTACACTCGAATCCGTCCATCGCTGTGGCTGAGGTGAAAACGAGACTCGTCAGTGAATAGAACTTCCTCCCACTACATGGCCGTCCAGCGTAGACGCTGTCTGCACCACTGTAGACATGCTTGACGGTGGTTTCCTGTCAAAATGGGACATCTGAGGCGACGACGTACGGTTTGTGAAGATATTCGTTGAAGGCCAGGGATGCTTCTTGCAGTCACTGTTGCTTTCTGGAATCGATTTCGTAGGTGTGTTGTTCGAATCCAGTTGTCGTGTCGATTATTGGTTACGCGTGGCCTGCCACACCGAGGATGGTCTCTGACTGCATTCGTCTGTTGCCAACGTTGCCCTAAACACCAAATAGTGTTTCTGTGGACGTTAAATTGTCTTGCAACATCACGTTGACTCGATCCTGCTTCAAGCATACCAATAGCTCGCAGACGCTCATTTTCGGACAGGCGTGGCATTTCGTAATGTTGAAGTAATGCGTAATTTTGTTGTTCTTCTGAGTGGTTGTTGTCAGCACGAGGCTAAACAATGCATATGGAATCCCGTTAACGCACATGTTTGTATACCCATTCTTGGGTAGTAAAATGCATGGGACTTGCATAAAAGTCAACTTTTGTATGGAATGCATGCTTTTCTGTAGCAGTTGCGTTTTTGTGACTTGATTCCATACATGTACTACAATACTGAAAACCAAACTTTACTTGTTTAAAAAAAATCGCTAAAATATTGGTGTCACAGGAACTTTTGTTGTTGAGTATATGTAAAGCTTTTCCCGAGGTTAAGGTTTACATTTTCAACCAAAACCGAGGAGGCGTTTTTTACCCAACGTATGAACCGACTAAATGCAAGAAATAACAGAAAAATAAGAAAACATCGTCATACCTTATAGTGAAACTATACAGTGAATTCGCTCAAAGCGTGCAAGAGAGAAAACACGCATGGACTAGCTGGAGTCATTTTAAACAAAATTGTGACTTTAAACCAATCAATAAAAACAATTGTGTTCACACCAAGAGGCAAGTTTATAAAACGTTAATTGTAAAGCATAGTTATAATTATAACAGTTGAAATGTATTCACCAGATCCCAGGCAATACACCAGAACGCCCCGGGGATAATTGATATAGCCTGCCTTGGAAGTTTATCAACGTTTAGAGTGACTGAGTGAGTGAGTGAGTATGGTTTTACGCCGCTTTTAGCAATATTCCAGCAATATCACGGCGGGGGACACCAGAAATGGGCTTCACACATTGTATCCATGTCGGGAATCGAACCCGGGTGTTCGGCGTGAAGAGCGAACGCTTTAACCACTAGGCTACCCGACCGCCCATCAACATTTAGACGAACCTTCTGTTACTGTACGGGGCGGTCGGGTAGCCTAGTGGCTAGAGCCATCGCTCGACACGCCGAAGACCCGGGTTCGATTCCCGACATGGGTACAATGTGTGAAGCCCATTTCTGGTGTCCCCCGCCGTGATATTGCTGGAATATTGCTAAAAGCGGCGTAAAACCATACTCACTCACTCACTCTGTAACTGTAGGTTGACGTCATCAGAATACCAAGAATTAGTTATTTTTCAACACTTTTAAATCTTATGTTTATGGACACATTTAGCGTTGTTGTAAGTCGAAAACATGCAAGTGTTGAAATAAACAAAATCACAAGCACACATCCCACATTCCTAAACGTTTTGTTATCTTGTTATCGGTGGATGTCTATTCTATCCCGTATCTATCGATCGTGACCGCCTCCGTGGTTCAATCCCCGGTCGCGTCATACAAAAAGATGTTAAAAGATGGTACTTGTTGTTACCCTGTCTGGTGCTCGGCATTAAGGGGCTAAAACAAGGACTGGTCGGCTCGCAGTCAGTATACTGTGTCTGAGGGGGGTATTCATGTTTAACTGCGGCATGGTGACTCAGTCGGCTAGCACTATAAATCGGCATCAGTCCGGACTAGTACAAGCAGCCACACACACACACACACACACACACACACGTAATGCACGTCGCTATATAAGTGCAATAATCTTGGACGCGACGTTAAACCCCATTTCACCTCACCTCGATCGTATCCGCCTCACTCATTAATAGCAGATCTTTGGTCTCGCAACCAACTTGCATTCAAGCGACTGTCTAACGAGAACTAAGACCTGATTGTAATGAGATTGGGACCCAAGAGCAACTATATCTCTTTACACGTTGGCTTTTGGTACTGCTACATATATTATTCAACATAGCCTTTACGCTATATAGCCAATATATTGTCCTTGCATCTATTTGATTCACGAAGGACCGGTGAGTTAGTCAGCCTCGATTATCCATTCAGTTATGATGAATGCCCTGGACCCATTAACTACCGTATAGCTTCGTAATAAGCGCTAGTTCGATTTCCATGTGGATATTTGCAAGTGAAGTCCATTCTTGGTCACATTTCTTTCCCGCTGTGATATGGCTGTGATATATTTTATTTTTCCCCTTTTTTTTATTTGTGATTTCTATGATGCAGGGTGTTGCTGTTATACTGACACGAATCGTTCAGACATCCATGACTACAGCTTATGAAAATGGCGATCTGTTCGGCCCAGCTACAGGATATATTTTCTGGTGCAAAACCTCTGCTGGTAAGAACAGTTTATTTGACCCGCACTGCATCCAATGGTTGGTTGGTTGGTTGGTTGGTTGTTTAACGCCGCACTCAGCAATATTCCAGCTATATGACGGCGGTCTGTAAATAATCCAGTGATTAATATCATGAGCATCGATCCAAGCAATTGGGATCGATGACATGCATCAACCAAGTCAGCGAGCCTGACCACCCGATGCCGTTAGTCGCCTTTTACGACAAGCATAGTCACCTTTTACGGCAAGCATGGGTTGCTGAAGACCAATTCTACCCCGGAATCTTCATGGGTCCTGCATCCAATGGCCCTTTATATAATATCTAAAGAGGATTAAGCGTACCATCGGGCATAGTGGTGGGGTAGCCTATTGGTGCAAGCGTTCGTATGGCAAGCCGTTTTCACATTTATTACGGAATTACAGATATCTTCAATTGTTTTAAAGATATCTGTATTTTATTTAAAGATATCAATAATGTTTTTAAGATATCAAAAAATAATTGAAGATATCTTAAAATGTTACGGTGATATCAAGAAATTAGTTTGTGATATCTCTAAATGTATTTAAGATATCATTAAACAATTACCATCCTACAGTACATAAATATATTAGAAATAAATTCAAGATATCTTAAATTCAATTCAAGATATCTTGAAATAAGTCATACATATCCACAAATGCATTGCAGATATCGTTAATTCAATTAGAGATATCTTTAATTCAATTAGAGATATCTTTAATTCAATTCAAGATTTCATTAATTCTGCCCGTTACGGATATCAAACATCCAATTAAAGACATCATTAATACTTTTGATGATATCTTTATATCAATTATTGATATCAGTTATCTTATTTAAGTGACATTATTAATGTAAATTCTTTAATAATGGCAACAATTGAAGATATCAATAATTAATTATTAATATCCGTATTTAGTTTCAAGATATCAGGAATTGAATTAATGACATCATAGCAAAACATGACATTTTGATATCTTTAACTCATATTTTGATATCAATAATCAAATTTAAGATATCAGCAATTCTTTTCAAGATATCTTCAATTCCATTCAATATATCTTCAATTCATTTCAAGATATCTTTAAAACAACTGAAGATATCTTATATTTTATTGCAGATATCGACAGTTATCTGCATTTAGGATATCTTCAATTCCATTCAAGATATCTTCAATTCCATTCAAGATATCTTCAATTCATTTCAAGATATCTTTAAAACAATTGAAGATATCTGTAATTCTGTAATAAATGTGAAAACGGCTTGCCATACGTCCGTTCGCCACGGTAGCGAAAACTAAGATCTGATTTCAAGGAGATTGGAATAGAACACTTCAGCAGTATATAGGGTGGGTTGCAAGGTCCTTTATGATGGATTTGAGTTTCAGATGACGAAGGCAGGGATGTGGCTGAACGTCTTCTCCCTGACAACGATGACCTCACGTGGGGCTCAGATTTCGAAGACGATGATCATCAATATGATGTTCCCCAGAACGAGGGAGATATGTCCCCGGATGTCCAATCAAATGATTCATCGGAACATATTTACCACGCAATAGAATTCAGCCCATCTTCACCCCGAAAGTCACATACAACAGCATACAACAACTCCGCGCACCTGCCAACAACTCTGTCCACTGGGGTACCATCTTCACATGCTCCCCCTGTCCCCAGCCGTGGGAAGCAGTATGCGTCTCCCCCAAGGTCACGCTCCCCCAGCCCCGTCCGAGTCCCTTCATCCCCAAGCACCCCTCTAAACTTCCTTGATGTTTCACCACAGAACACTTCCACGAAGGCGTCGCGCCATAGTCATTCTCGCCTTATACCTTCGGTCAGACATCCCGTTCTCAACACGATGTGATCAGCATCTTCATCTTCAAGTGCAACTGTTTAAATGTGTGATATTCAAAGAAACATGTCAATTTCTTCAACATTTGAGGAATGGTTCGATACAAGGCTTTGAGGCTGGAACCGTTAGAGCACTGTAACTCCGACAAACACTGATGTCACTCATTGAGATGTACATTTATTAAACTGTCTTATTTGTAACTGATTGTACGCTGTTGTCTTTAATCCTTGACTACACCTGCATTGCGTCTACATGTATATCGCATTGGTTAGTTTTACATTAGAGCACCAGTGCTCATTTCAGAAACTGGAAATGTGGGGCCCAATGTCCCCTACCTTTCGAAGAATTGGGGACTTTTGAGGAAACAAGGGGACACGCACATATTTTTGAAATAAATGACGGTTGGGCTATATTGACCACATGCATAGGGACAAGGGTATCGGGGATGTTGTTTTCAGTTATACGCACTGAGCATAACGTTTTGCTTTATGCTGATTAAGAGACCGCCTCCGTGGTCTAGTGGTAGAGCGTCCGCCCGGAGAGGGGAAGGTACGGGGTTCGATCCCCGGCCGCGTCATACCAAAATGCGTTAAAAATGGTACTTGTTGTTACCCTGTCTGGTGCTCGGCATTAAGGGGCTAAAACAAGGACTGGTCGGCTCGGAGTCAGTATACTGTGTCTGAGTGAGGTATTCATGTTAAACTGCGGCATGGTATCTCAGTGAGCTAGCACTATACATCGGCATCAGTCCGGACTAGTACAAGCGCGCACACACACAAACACACACACACACACAAACACATACACGTAATGCACGTCGCTATATAAGTGCAATAATCTTGGACGCGACGTTAAACCCCATTTCACCTCATGCTGATTATGACAAGTGTTCTATTGTTGTTTGCGGAGTGTACCATAGCTTTGGGATTTTATATCAACGTATAGTCGCAAATATTAATGTCACCTAAATTTCGTTTTGGTGCATCGGCAGATAATCCGTAAGTTCCTTGCATAAAAAATATTCGAAGGAGTGCATTTTTCGCGCGAGGTACTTCCGAAAGGATTACCTGCCTATGCACCAATGAGCCAAGGCTTATACATAGATTACTACCTCGCGTGTTATCTGTCCCTCGTGAAATGATATTCTCAAAATTAAATCCTCGTGTCTCGTCGGTCACCATTCGTGACCAACTTGTGTTATTCCGGGACAAGCCAAATAGCGACTCGTGGCCCCCTCGTGGCCATTTTTTGCGACCGGGTTCCGTCTTAGCGCAAACGGGCATACCTAAAATAATTGTCAACTCGTCGCGTTATGGTTCACATATATTTCCCCATATATTATATATATTTCAGATGCAATTTAAAGCACATCGGGACATGCGGAATTATACAGTATGATTGAACACATTTAACTGTGCCTTGGGTATATTTTTAGATGCAAGACATACGTAAAATCAAAACTTATTTCTGAGGGATTCTCTGACGAAGAACTTGAAATCATACGCGCATTCTGATTGGTTTGTCGTATTTTCGCACATAACATACATCGATAGGGGGTCGAGTCTTCTTGCAGGTTACGGAAAGGGGCGAGTGGTGACGACTGCGTCGGTTACCTCAGTTCTTTATTTCGGTATTTCAATGGTCCAACAGTATTTGGTACAGTATTTGGTCCACCACACAATACAACATGGTTAAACGAGTGACGCAGATAAAATAACAGTAAATATATTGAAAATTGAAGTTGCAGTTACAAAAGAAGCAATTGCTGACGTAGGTGGTTTCTTTGCATGAAATATAAAGTATGCGAAGTTTTCTGTTAGCACAGTCCCGTTTAGAAGACGTAAGAATACTGAATGTATTTGTTTGTTTGTTGTTTAACGCCGCACTCAGCAATATTCTGTAAATAATCGAGTCTGGACCAGACAATCCAGTGATTGACATCATGAACATCGATCCACGCATGTTGACATGTTTACACCAAGTCAATCGTTTAGAAAACATAACCCCTAAATATTTATAAGATGAAAGACATTGCATCTGAACACTATAGTAGTACCATATTTCGTATTTTGGAGTCAAAACATCATTTCTGAAAGCTTCTGTTTTCGTTTCATCCATATAAATAGACAATTTGTACTTATTACAATAGACCCGAGAAGATTCCGGGGTAGAATAGGTCTTCAGCAACCCATGCTTGCCGTAAAAGGTGACTATGCTTGTCGTAAAAGGCGACTAACGGGATCGGGTGGTCAGGCTCGCTGACTTGGTTGATGCATGTCATCGATCCCAATTGCTTGGATCGATGCTCATGATATTAATCACTGGATTGTCTGGTCCAGACTCGATTATTTACAGACCGCCGTCATATAGCTCGAATATTGCTGAGTGCGGCGTTAAATAACAAACCAACCAACCAACCAACTTATTACAATATTGTTCAAGAACGTTACTACTTGTTTTGCAAACCATATATCATATCTGACAACAGAACTATACATAATCAGCAAATATAAGATAGCTGCGCGATAAATCGCAAACTTGATGATTGGAGGACCTTATTTTTTAGACGGGTGTGTCTGGTAAGTTGTTCCCCATAGATGTAGCTGGGCAACGCAGATAAACGCAGTGGCCCAACGCATTCGTGACCAACTAGTGTTATTCCGGGACAAGCCGAATAGCGACTCGTGCCCCTCTCGTGGCCATTTTTTCGACCGGGTTCCGTCTTCACGCAAACGGGCATACCTAAAATAATTGTCAACTCGTCGCGTTATGGTTCACATATATTTCCCCATATATTATATATATTTCAGATGCAATTTAAAGCACATCGGGACGTGCGGAATTATACAGTATGATTGAACACTTTTAACTGTGCCTTGGGTATATTTTTAGATGCAAGACATACGTAAAATCAAAACTTATTTCTGAGGGATTCTTTGACGAAGAACTTGAAATCATACGCGCATTCGGATTGGTTTGTCGTATTTTCGCACATAACATTCATCGATAGGGGGACGAGTCTTCTTGCAGGTTACGGAAAGGGGCGAGTAGTGACGACTGTGGCCCAACGATCGCATCCAAAAGTGGGAGAAACGTGGAGACTGGTATTAGGAGAAAAGGGTTACTGACGTGCACGTGTCTAAGTATCTGGATCTAAATTAGACGACCTTTCTACCTTTATGGGTTATATTCTTTATTCATGATGTATTTTGTATTAGTTATATTCGACGAATCATATTCTACCAAACGAGAGTGTAGGTTTATTTCATCAAATGCGTCCGCGTGTATGTCACTGCCACTTAAAATGCCTTCGGCTCGTGATATCTAACCTAACGCGGGACGCATTAAACCCCATGTACCCCGAGTGATCCTGCTACAACAAATTTATCTTGCCGACATGTTTTAAAATTACATTGTAAAAGAATTCAAACAAATTCAAAATTGATAGAAAACAGCTGTTTGATTGAGCTGAGGTTAGCTTCGTCTATGTCACGTGACTTGGAAAAAGCGTGTGTTTTTTTGCTTTGAAGCGGGGTATAAAGGATTTACATTTTGCCTCTCAAAAATCAACGTGCAGCCTGATTTGCTCGTGGTGGGGTATAAGAGATTTATTCCCCCGCTGAGAAATTTATTCCCCTCCAAGGCGGGTTTCACAGTATTTTATCAAGATCACTTGGGCCAATCAGATCTAATAATTCTGACATGGGGGTATGATAAAGTATCATATAGCGACCCTTGTAAAGGGTCATAAGACCAAGGCAGTATCTTGTCAACTCTACAATGCAAATCGAAGTCCAGTGAAACTTCCAGTTCGTGTGCTATTCTGACCCGGGACACCCACTATACAGTATATATAAACACCGTTCTAATTCGTCTATTGTTTACTTGGCAGTGAGCTAGCCACACAATTAGTGAAATAAACCCGCAATCTCGTTTGATAGAATATGATTCGTCGAATGTTACTAATACAAAATACATCATGAATAAAGAATATAACCCACAAAGGTAGAAAGGTCGTCGGATTAAGCTTCAGATACTTAGACACGTGACGTCAGCAACTCTCGGTGCTGTTTGATCAGTTGAAGCGATAAGACGTCACACTGCTTAGTAGCAATATGTGACGTTATACATTGCTGTGATAACGTTACGTCATCTGAGGGTTGATTTCAGTCAAGTTTTCACAACATTTCATTCGTCTCTTTTCATTTCTTCACTGTCTGTCTTAAAATGAACAAAATTTAGATCCATCAGTTGTTAACTCTATCTTAGGCCACGTTCACACAGTGCCGATTATGGATCCCATTTGAGATCAGACAGCGCTGAAAAGTGAAAAAGTAGGATTATTACCCATATGGGCTCAAATATGCAGTGTAGTAACTTTTTGATATTTGCACAGTGTGCAACTAGTGATTCTAGTTTAATCACTAGATTAAGGGGATTGGTGATTAGTGATTGGTCAGTTGAACAAAGATCAATTTTCATTTGACAACGGAACTATTTTTTTCTCATCCCATTCATTTACAAATCCACGCCATTCATTCAGATGTTTTACGTGCTACAAACTCACTGATTCGGGATTTTTAAGACAAGACACATACTTTCATATCAACAACATGATTTCAGATTATTATTTTTTCATTTATTTCACATGATTTTCATTTTACAGTAAAATCCAAAACTTCGTCCCCGTTTGTAAACAAACATGGCTGGCCATTTGACACCTGTCAAAGAAAATGACCTCGATAAAGCGGACGGAGATCTGACTGACATGAAGAGTTATTCGTATAATTCAACCTCTGAACACATTTAATGTCTTTGTTGTCAAAACTGCATAAGGCCAGATTGAAGTTCCACGATTCAGATTGTGAATTTGCCAGAAACTGTTTCTAGTGCGCCAGGATCATCACCACCAAGTCCGGGTTTGCGTCTGTGTTAGAGCCAACTTAGAGGGCTTGCTGTTTGATGAATTTTTCGACCACCCGAATCCAAAAACCGGACTTTGTAAAGACAGGTTTGTCTTTGTGAACGATGACATCGATAACTGCCAATGAAAATGAAAACACAATGAAAAAGACTGAACCTGACAAGTTGACATGAACTTAGTTCACCAATTTATACAGGTAAGAAAACACTAAAAATATGTCTATTGTCTACTCACGCTTTCAACGATGGCATGAGAATAAAAACAAATTCATTTTGCAACAA